ATTTTTTATTTAAATAAGATTTCGAATATCGTTGACAAATCTCACGATCGGAATGAGGATTCAGGCAGTTTATTTTCGTAAATGTATATTGGTTTTGTAGTGCGTTTATTTTTGACCTAGTGCGTTATCGCGTATTGTGTCAAACACAAATAAGAAGTCAAACTCGGAGTACACTAAAAATATTTATATTAAAACTGTTTAATGATTTTATTTGTGTAAAAATAATTTTGACAAAATCAATGATTTATCCTTGATTAACATATATAATTAAAATTTTTGATAGTATATTCCATCATAGAAATAATTCCAATATAGTATGACATTATACATATATGAATCATGGTTTCACAGAAATAACGTCATTGCTATGACATAATAATAATTACTTTGCTATCACGATTGTTTACAAAGTTGCTTTATGGGTTAGGTCTGGTCTGTAAATCTGTAATAGATAAAGTTAGTCAATGTTTCTTAAACGAACACGAATATAACTATTTAATATTGAAGCCCTAAACACGACCTAAGCGGGAAAAATATCTAATATATAAAATTCTCGTGTCACAGTTTTCGTTGCCATACTCCTCCAAAACGGCTCGACCGATTCTCATGAAATTTTGTGTGCATATTGGGTATGTCTGAGAATCGGACAACATCTATTTTTCATCCCCCTAAATGTTAAGGGTAGTCCACCCCTAAATATTTTTTATTTTATTTTTAGATATTTTTTTCTGTTTTTATTTTTTTATGATACAGCATTAAAAAATACATACAAACCCCTAACTTACACCCCTATACGATCAACCCCTATTTTTTTATTATAAATGATATATATGGCAAAACGACGTTTGCATGGTCAGCTAGTTGTACAATGTACATATAATATTCAACTCAAAATGACCAGCTTCTACTGTAATTCTCCTTTTACTTTATAGTCTAAACTGACTTTTAACTCAAAATCAAGTTGGCTAAGGTAGAAATTTCAGATTTTTTTTTTACTGCATATATGCAATTTAGCGCTTAGAATCGTGTAAAGTTTATACAGCTTAACTGCATACATCAACTATTTTTTAATAATTTTCCAAATTTTATCCATTGTTATAACTGCGTGAGTTCCCCTAAGGGCCTCGGGCCTAAGAAATGCTTTTAGAATAATAATGTATCAGGTTTGATGCTATTAGTTATGTAACTTCCGGATATTGTATAAAACGAAGTTTTTCTCATAGTATGCGAGTAACATTTTAATAGTAAAAAAAAGGAACGTTTGATTCGCTTACATTTTGTTTGTTTAAGAAAATCAGTGGTGCTACAACTTACAAGCTAATTTTAGGTCTGGGCCTCAGATTTCTGTATCTGTTTCATGATCATTTGTAAATCTAATCAAGTATGTGATCAGCCTTCTTTGCCTGACACACGTCGATTTTTTGGGTCTAAGGCAAGCCGTATTCCTCACGATGTTTTCCTTCACTGTTCGAATGTTAAATGCACATAGAAATCCATTGGTGCACAGCCGGGGATCGAACATACGACCTCAGGGACGAAAGTCGCACGCTAAAGCCTAGGCCAACACTGCTCTTTTGTTTTTTAAATATATATAAAAGTTTTAACGTCTTAATCTTAAAAACTACTGGTTAAACTTGAAACATTATTTTCGTCCATTTTTCGAAGACTTTTACGACCGACTTAACGCTGGTGAAATGAAAATGTATACTTCCTTTGTCTTGAAATCGAAGTACTAATTCATAAACGTCAAAATGATTGTCAATCCATTACTGTTCTGTTTTTCTATTTCCTCAAAAGGTCATTAGTTAATGGGAAATCGATGACCTGATTGCCACTTTCATTTAAATATGGTACTGCCTTCCGGTATACGAGCATTAACTATAACATTTGTATGAAAATATATTTTTACAGGTAACGTTTACGTGAATGAAAACATTTTCTTTTTATAAATCAAACAATACTGAAGTCTAAAACGGAATAATTTTATCCATACTTTATATAATAATGATGAAATATAATGAATATCACTCCTTTATTGATAAACTACAGATGTTTATTTCCATGCAATGAATACTGGTTAGAACACTTAACAGTATATAGGAACCGGTAGTTCATGCGTAAGAAAATCTTAAACGTTTTTGACATACGGAAGCTGTACTTAGCGCGTTCCGAATCCCTTGACCCTAAAATGAAAGTCTAAAGAAAGACAGCTGTAGAAATGTGGCACCATTTAAAGGATTACTTTATATATATTTGCTGTCTTTAAAAAGTTCACAGTTATTCCTTAATCATTAATACAAGCAAAAGATGATGTCACTTGTCTCATCACCACTTTGCACAAATTGTGTCAATTAAGCAATTTACTCAGTCCCTTGTTTCATTCTCATCTTGATACTTTGTAGCTACACGGCCACAGTCAAGGAAATATTTATTTTTTAATAGTTTCAATACAACTAACGTTACGTTAAAAGCAACAATAAAGTAATTTTGTTAAAGAGAATTTCGTTTTCAAAGAACACTTCATATTCATTTAGACTTCAAAATTTTGTATGAATATTAAAGACATTTTTATTTATAATATCTAAGTCCATTCTAGTAGTAGTTGAACGTAGGATTTTTGACTATAAGAGCGTGCGTTTGAATCCCAATGGATACCAACTACAAAGAATCAATAATATAAATGCAAAAATGTAAAATTCCATGATAGGTTGCGTAAGTACCCTAATTCAGAATTAAGTTTTTTTAATGTAACAAGAGGCAAACGGGCAGGAGGCTCACCTGATGTTAAGTATTACCGCCGCCCATAGACACATTGTCAGAGAGCTAATGCGTTTCCTGCTTTTTAACAATTGGTACGCTCCTTTCTTGAAGGAGCATAAGTCGAATTGGTTCGGATATACTTCAGTATACATAGTCGTGGTGCGAGACAAAAACTGGCTTAAAAAACGCTCAGTTCTGGAACGACGGACGCCCGATGATGATACTGAAACTGCGCATTTAAGTCCTGTATATTTAAATCATATTGAATTAAGGATGGATACTGGAATCATAAGTTCAACCGTAGGGATGTAACACTAAGTCGGGTTTTTTGGAACACTTATAACTCGAGAACGTCTGGACCGATTTCATATTTGTCTCTGTACCGAATAGGAGAATAAGGAAACATCCAAAAAAAAGCCAATACTAAATGTTTAATAGGTTTCGTAACTGGCAAGCATTTATTGTTCATCCCGTCGTTACCAAAGAACGTATTTAAAAATGTCGAATAATGTCAGTAAAAAATGATTGACACATATATTGGTTGTCAAATATTGTGCGTTCAGAAATGTATTTTGTAAATATAGTAAGCTACTTAAATAAACAAATCACTTTGTAACGTTGAGTTTTGCTATTCGGTGATAGTGAACTTAAAATTTATTTTGTATTAATTACTTTCATAAAATCATAAATTAAGTTCAGCAAATAATAGTATTATTATGTGTGAAATGCATATCCTTAGTTTAAATGCATACCGGAAGCGCATTGCTCATAGCGATGAATAAAGCCTTCACAAGGTCGGGTTAGACTAGCATAAACACTACTCCACAGCGATAACAATCTTTATTCGTGTTGTACCTAGATTGCCTAGACCTTTATGTATTACGAATTAAAGTTTATTGCCTATTTGAAGCCCTGGTAATGAAAAATAATCTTACATTTGTATTTTTTGTAAATACGAAACCAGTTTGTTAATCAGATTGTTTAAATGATCCTAATCCTTGGGATTGATTTGGTCCAGTTCAAACAATTTGTAGGACTTAATACTTGGCGATTAAAAAGAGTGGCGGAGAGTTTATTGCCAGTTGACTTGCGAACTGATAGTAAATGTCAACTTAGAATCAATTTAACATCTTTTCTGCTGACGTTCATAAGTGTACTTGGTTAGCTATATGAATAAAGTTATAAGTTTGAGTTTGAATCAGTACGATCTTTTCCAATTCGAAACTTAATTTTAATTAACTAAGAAACGCTTGGCGTGCTTTATGACAATCTATATATATGTTATGTTGGCTTGTGTACGCTTCAAAAACTCGAAAAGTTCTGCACCGATCGAGCTGTAATTTCAGCATGCCATAAAATCCGCTCCGCCAATGTTTTTATCTATTTTTTTCAATCACTTTATTATCCTATTGTATAATTAAACTTAAATGAAATGTATTCTTTGTTTTGTTTCTCATTTCTCAACCATTCAATCACAATGTGCCACAGCGAAGCGTGGCAAGGTACAGCAAGTAGATTATATTTTTGTGTGCTATTTATTATTCACTATAGGTATAGAAAAGTTTGTGTAATTTTTTTAAAAGTAACAGAAATAAAGAAGAAGAAGAAAATTCTATTACCATAATTACCTAAGCCTATATTTCTTTACACTAATGACTTTCTTAAACCTGGATTTCAGTACTGCATTTGTTTCTATGTCTATGCAATTGTTTTTGTGTTCATATAAGTAATGGTATCCATGGTGACAATTAACCAACGCGTTATAAGGCCGTTGACGTTCAATGTACAAAGGCACTGGTCGTAGGTGGATAAGCTAATAAAAACAAGTCTTACGATAGTGACAAAGCGTTTAATTTACACGGCTATGTGCTAAAAAGGAAATGAGAGACAGTGTTTAATATTCATCAGGCTTTTAACCTCGGGCTTTGTTGATTGACTCGCATAGGTTTTTATAGGAAATTGTTTTTTAGTTAAAACCCCGGATGCACTAATGTTTTACTAATGATTTTTGTTTTGAGACATTAAATAATTATTTTAATGTAAGTAGGATTCGTGTACTAACAAAATTCATTTAAGCGATACAACCTTTTTAGGTCTAAAACTTAGATTTCTCTATCTATTTCATGATCATTTGTCAATCTAATAGGCAAGTAGGTGATCAGCCTCCTGTCCCTTTTTTGGTCTAAGACGAGTCGGTTTCCTCACGATGTTTTCCTTCACCGTTCGAGTACATATAAAAAATGTCCATTGGCGATGGGATCGAACCTACGACCTCAGATGTGAGTCGCTCGCTGAAGCCACTAGACCAACACTGCTCTTAATTTAATTTACTTTAAGTTAGTTTTATTAAAAAAGACCTGCAATTTCTTTATCTCGCGTCTTATCTTCGCCGATATACACATATACATATACAGTCAAAACCGTTTACGATGACATCGTTTAGCACAACATACCGGTTATATTGACCAAAATCAAAGATCCCGGCTGAATTCTATTGTATTAGGTACTTAATAACAACGTATCGGATGTTACGACTATCGGTTTTTACGATCAAATATGAGTAGTCCCTTCGATGTCCTTATAACAGATTTTGACTGTATTTACTACACAAACAACATAATTGTTATTATTCAAACTCTGTGATATTGGAAATCATAAAAAAAGTTCACATAATAGTAAAAGAATATTCAAACATAATTGTAGAAATAACCAGTACGCATAGCCATAAACACGAAGTGACCAAAATGGCGTCATAATGACCCAATTCGTGTACCATCGTTTGGACTGGCCTATATTACACATCTGTGGACTAATGCTTTTTTAATTATCTGTCAAACATAAAACTGATTTAACTCACAGTTTTAATTACCAATTCCGTAGTTAATAAGCAAAAATAGATTCTAATATCAAAAGGAATCTTTATAACAATTACTTCTTTTTTCTACTGTTATTATTATTACATTATTTTACTTTTTTTGCGTTACGGTTCATCTAAATATCAATTTTTTTAATATATTAGTTTTCAATTTTTATTACATGACCACAATATTTTTGCCATTCTTCTGCTGATATTGTATTAAATCCATTTGGTATTAAATGCGGCATTTCTAAATCGGTCTTTCCAATATTGTAGCTACCTGCGAAATTCTCTGCGTCGTTTTAGGTTTCAGTAGCTAGCACTTCCGTTAAGGTTGTTGGAATATAAAACATAGTGTACCAGATGATAAAGGTTGCATATTTGTGATTGGACTAAAGTAACATACCATCATTTCATTCGTTAACATTCTTACCCCCCCGTAGTTTGTTATTCATACAAATATTTTGATTATGGTGCCATAATAATGACTGTCTATCACAACCACGAGTGGTGTTTGTTTATGTATCTATTGTTCTGTTGACACATAACAGGTGTGGGTTATTGATTTTTGGTTTGTTTAGAAATCCCAGTAAAAATTCGGTGTAAATCGAATATATTTTCTATAATACTGTGTACTTTAGTGTTATCGTGGTTCAAACACGCGGCGTAAGACTGAGAGTTTGATATCTGAAACAACAATTGTGTTTGTGGAAAGCATAGAAGAGTTATTAAATGGTATTGTGTTTATTTAACAAACGGAGAGAAAGCTCATCTGATGTTGTTATAATGCCCATGGAATATTTAATAGGTTCACCATACGTCCGAGCTTAACGAAGCTTAAAAAAAAATGTGCTTCTTGCAAAAGATGAATCAAAAAGAAAAGTGTGGTTGTAGACAAAGGGCGATTGCCTTATCATTATATTATAATTTACATTATGCAATTATTATAAATAAGACCAAACAAGTACGTGGGAACCAGTAAATTACTGATAACGATAGTTTTTACAGAATTTAGGAGATATTTACAGATCCCCTAAATATCAATAAACATTTTTTCATATAACCCCCCTTGATTCGCTTAAGGTCGAAGTATCATAATCATTTATAGTTTCAAGAGCTCTCTATTGGTATAGTACAATAAAATCCTGCCAATCTCTGTTCTAGATACTTGGTGTTATCATAATAACGGTGGCATGTGTGGACATGGGAATGCTGAAGGGGTTCGCTGGCATGGAGACAACGGGCCACGAGACTGATGCTGTTCTCATTGCTGTGGGGGTCCTCATCATTATCGTTGCCGCTTTTGGCTGCTTCGGTGCTTGGAAGGAGAGCCCGAAGTTGTTATATATTGTAAGTATTTATTTAAAGATTTCCGTGTGGCTCTTACCTATTAGTTTTAATTCGTGACTACTCATTTCAAAAGGATAAACAAAAAGCCATGGCTTGGTGGTATTGTGGGTAAGATGCCGTTTGAGAGAGAAGTAAGCTCTCCTTTTCAATAATTGGAGGTCATACTTCCCATGGAAGACTTCACATTTCGCTAGTCCAGTCAATGTCTATTTTTTTAATCTTATTCATTTAAATTAACATATACTTTACTTACGAATTATGAAGAACGCCAGCGATGGGAGACTCTTGTCTAATCTGTATTGTCTTTAGAAAACAAATATGTTGTGTTATTTCGTTCTAATTATATTTAAAGTTCTAAGCATATTTTACATTAAATTCCAGTACTGATTCCCGGGGCCCAGAGAGCTAAAAATGTAGATTTGTTTACAAAGATGTTAGATTGTTTCTACTTATAGCTAAAAGCATACTAGCTTACATCATTTATGGCCGATATCGTAAATAAAAATGATAAATTCCGCACGTTGTAGGACTCGCCCACAGTGCCGTGTCACTGCTCTATAAATCCCATGACCTAGATATATATGGGTGTAATTTTGTTACAATGACCTGGTCAACGTGTTGCAGATCCATTAATAAAAGTAGGCGTTCTTAGGAATCTTAAGTGTATAAAGTAATGTTATTCTGTAATATTTTATTACAATATAATGCTTATAAAATAAATACAAAAAAAAACAATAACTTACCTTAAAATATAATAACTAAAATATAATATTATTAAAAGGAGTCCCATTAGGCAAGGTTCCGAAGATACTGGCAGCGTTCCCTCTTTGAATAGCTAGACTAATTCTTTGTCCGAGGTTGCTGCCAGCTCTTTGGTCTCCTGTGATGTCGACTAACCTTTTTGATATTTCCTTAAAAAGCCTTATAGCGCTAGGACCCCACGGACCAAGGGTCTCGACACCGAATGGGACAAAGTCATTTTCGGAGCCCAGATTGTATTTGCAGGCTGTAGCTTTTTCAGCCGCATCACAAGCCGCACGAGCTCTGTTGTTGGTTCCATGTAGATAATAAAGTGACAAATGTGTTAATAATTTTTGAAAGCTGATGAAAAAATTCGAGTAAATCGTCAATTCACAGCTGGACCTATGGTCAGTCAGGGTAATATTACGTGTCAGAACTAAGATTTAGACGGACTATGACTCATGTATATAAAAATCCATTTCTGTCATACATAACGATCCCTGCGTGTATTCATGATAAACATAACGAAGATATTCGAGGAATGAACGCGTGACGTATTTTTGGAACGAAGTTCCTTATCGCGCGTTGTGAAAGGGGGCTAGACGGAAAAAATTCTTACGAAAAGTTGTCACGACACTTTTTTGCTATTTGCTATTGTAATACACCGGTTCTCGTCCGATCACCGAAGTTAAGCAACGTCGGGCGAGGTCAGTACTTGGATGGGTGACCGCCTGGGAACACCTCGTGATGTTGGCTTTTTTTTTCGTCGTAAGATTGGTGTCGAGAAAATCTATCATACTGTTATGATACCAATTAACATATAAATTAATCGAAAGGAATTTCGTTCCATCCGGGTGTCCCTTGACACCTCTAAAGATTTTTTACCTACTTTAGGTCGTAATTAGACGAAAATAATTAATATTTCACATGAAAAAGTTGTATTGAAGTCGGTCGGTCTGACTGAACGGTATTTTCAAAAATATGTCGTTTCAATTATTACTCTATAACAGAAGGAAACTTTATACCAAAAAGATTTTTCATAAGATAAATTAATAAATAATTCTACAATATATAATAAGTCTAGCAATCAGTATTAAATGTCCAAAATTATTTTCAGTTCGTTGGCTTTTTAATTCTGATCATCTTACTGGAGCTATCTGTGGGTATAGCGGCGGCGGCACTACGACCACAAATCGAAGGTACCATGAAGACGCAGCTGCGAGCCTCGTTCATCAAAAACAAGTCCACTAGAGAGGAAGACTCAGTTTACAGGGAATTTTGGGACAAAATTCAGAACAATGTACGTTACTTTTATTCATATTTCCACTTGACATGTGTTTTAAAATAGCATTCATATACGCTTTCTGCTGCCAACCTATTTTGATGAAATTCTGTTAGAACTTAAAAAAATTTAGTGGAGAACGAGTATTTTAACTTTTTTACAGTCGAAATAGGTTCACTCTTCTATAATTGTTGTGTTAATATTTATTGTAGTTATTAAGAAACTCTATGTGTAAATAAATGAATCACTTGTACGAAGCTAAGTGTCTTTAATAGTTCAAAACAAGAGCTTCTAACTAACATAAAAGTTGGGAGTTGTGGTTGCAACGCTGAACTAGTAGACCACAAGCCCATGAACAAAATATACCTGTGAAATGACCCAACGTGAATTACGCTTAGAAGGCTGTTACTATATCTGAAAATAGCTCTGAGCACTATGCCGTCATTTCTGAGCGGTACATGTGAGTAAGTGAGTGAATGGACTTTCTCAGGTACAATTGGGGAATTTCGACTAATTATTAATGTACGGCTTTGTTATAAGTGTATAGATGATTAAAAATAAATGTCGAAAAACCTAGTGCCGTACTAAAGTGATGGTGCCGGAAGTCGGTGCAAATTTTTAATTCGACGACAGTTGCAGAAGCAATATAGGTCATTTATTACTGTACGGCATTTGTGTGATTCCTTTTGGACACATATACAGATACTTTACCCGTAAACGCCGTACATATTTCCAGCGGAGCGGTCGAAAGCCAAGGGTCGCAACATATGTCTGATTAGCATATAGGTGATGATGATATAGAACAACATAAAATTAAATGATCTTGAGAGTACTTCACAAATAGGTAACATTTTCCAGCATGCCGTACATTTTTTGTGGAACACATAGGTGTATGAAGTAAATTACTTTCCTCAGAAAAGAGTCATTTTCCGGTGACTTTTATCTGTACGGCAATAACACAGGTTATTAATAATTTAGACAATCTTTAATAAAAGATAAATGCCGTACACTTTCGATAGTCCGCTAGTCTGTGAAATGGCAGATTATACCACCGCCTACCAATACAGGGCGTCCCAAAGTTATGGGAAATGAAGGGAAAGTACCTTAAATATCGTAGATAGGGTATTTTACTAAAAGAAGACTTTATGTTATTTTTAAAAGTTAGTAATTCTGCATCCAAAGATTTTTAAAAAAATTACTTGCCTCGTCTGGAAATCGTACCGACTTAAATGTAAAAAAAAACACCCCTACTTTTATGATGCCAATCGAAAGAATGACCAAAAACTAATAACTCTTCTTAAGTAACATAGTATTTTAAAAGAAAGGAACAGCGTGAATATATCTTTTAATCAAATTAAAAACATTATCTATCGTATTTGGCCTAAAAAAATCCCCTACGAGTCTGTTACTTTAGAAAAGTTATTAGGTTTTAGCCATTCTTTCGATTGGCATCATAAAAGTAAGGGTGTTTTTTTTTAATTTAAGCCGGTTCGATTTCCAGACGAGGCAAGTAATTTTTACAAAACCTTTGAATGCAGAATTACTAACTTTTAAAAATAACATAAAGTCTTCTTTTAGTAAAATGCCCTATCTACGATATTTAAGGTACTTTCCCTTCATGTCCCATAACTTTGGGACGCCCTGTATTATATTTTTATTTTTGTTAAAAATATTTTTCCTTTACCTCTCTCTGCTGGTACGATAAGGCTGTAAATATACTTTACAGCCTTATGGTAGTATACTCAGATACGTACAGTTATTAATGACCTTAAGGGACACCTCAAACGTCGTCGAAGTTTTTATCAGCTGTAAAGAATAATCTGGAGTAAAATGTACGGCATCTGGTTTTTTTTGTTTATTTATATTTGTTACATATAAAATAACAATAATCTTTGAAAATATTACTCCCCATATTACTCTAGGAGCATTTGAAAAGTCATCTAAATTTCGGAAATTTCATATATTTTTTATCATAATATTTTTATTTGTTACCATTTATAATGAACGGCTATAAGGTACAACGGTAATATTTAGTAACATTATGTAAAAAAACAAGTTGCCGTACATTATTCTCTGATCTTACAGCAGTAAGAACTTGGTAAATCCTGAAATTTCGATAAATATTTATTTACACAAATATTAACTATAAGTTTTGGACGGCATAATTATCAAACATTATTGTCCGTGTTAAATAATATTTTGAACATGTTGCCGTACATTTTACAATGACCTTAGGGTATATGGGTGTAGGGGTAGGGTTCCGACCCTTGGCTTTCGACCGCTCCGCTGGAAATATGTACGGCATTTACGGGTAAAGTATCTGTATATGTGTCCAAAAGGAATCACACAAATGCCGTACAGCAATAAATGACCTATATTGCTTCTGCAACTGTCGTCGAATTAAAAATTTGCACCGACTTCCGGCACCATCACTTTAGTACGGCACTAGGTTTTTCGACATTTATTTTTAATCATCTATACACTTATAACAAAGCCGTACATTAATAATTAGTCGAAATTCCCCAATTGTACCTGAGAAAGTCCATTCACTCACGTACTCACATGTACCGCTCAGAAATGACGGCATAGTGCTCAGAGCTATTTTCAGATATAGTAACAGCCTTCTAAGCGTAATTCACGTTGGGTCATTTCACAGGTATTTTTTGTTCATGGGCTTGTGGTCTATAGCAAAAACTAATACTTAAGATATAAGTAATTTTTTGACATATTTTACACTCCTAGAAACTGTAATGTTACTTTAAGTCAAAGTCAAATCATTTATTTCAATTAAGCCTATTTAAAAGGCACTTTTAAAAGTCAACATTACAAATTAAAAATATTAAAATAATTCTCTATTTGCCCCTTCCAAAACTTTTCATATGGAGAAGATTGGGCAACTCCATACTAACTTTTTTAAAATAGATTTTACAATATTTTGTAAACATTGATTTGATAAATAATTTATGTGCTGACCACTAATTATATAATTGATGGATGAAATACTATAGAGGATTTATTGTAACCAAAACTGACGTAGAGTTTATTAGATACAATTGTAAGTTAAACTAATATATAAAAGCTTAATTATATGTTATTATGTTATATATGTTATTTCAAACTATTACGTTCAATCCCAAAATAGCAGGTGCGTTCACTCGTTCTTATTACTCTGACAGCTGGAATGCTGTGGTGTCACCGGTCCCGATAACTACGTAGCCTCGGAGCCTCGACTGAACCCCTCGTACAGCTGTTGCCCTCCCGATGACTCCGACCGAGCTGTGGAGATCAAACGATCCGACTGCATCTCACTAAGTAAATATTATCAAGAGGGATGTGAGGATAAAGTACTGAGCACTGTGCATAGCGCGGGATTATCAGTCATTGTCTGTGGGATACTGTTTTGTTTCTTGGAGGTAAGGGATATGTGAAAAACAGTTATTATCACCAGAAGCTTTATATTATTTTTTAAATTTATATTATTATACACTACTAGCTGACCCGGCAAACGTTGTTTTGCCAAATATATTATATGTAGGAGTTTTTTTTAGGTCAATAAAAATAACTACAGATAATTAAAATAGAGGTTGATCGTAGAGGGGTAAAAATTAGGGGTTGTATGTATTTTTGTATGCTGTATCATAAAAAAATTGTCTAAAAAATAAAAATAAAATTTTTGGGGTAAACACCCCTAATCACTTAGGGGTTTCATAAGAATCGGTCGAGCCGTTTCGGGGGAGTATGGTAACGAACGACACGAGAATTTCATATATTAGATTAATGAGCATGTAACTAAATAAAGTTAAAAAAAACAGTGGCGCTAGGTGGCAACTAGCAAGTAGGTGATCAGCCTCCTGTGCCTGACACACGCCGTTGACTTTTCGGATCTAAGGCAAACCAGTTTCCTCACGATATTTCCTTTACCGTTCGAGCGAATGTTAAATGCCCACATAGAAACTCAAAAGGTGCACAGCCGGGGGACAATCTACGACCTCAGAGGCCACTGCGCATGTGAAGAAACCGGGATACCTTAGACCAAAAAAGTTATATTGCAAATTTTTTTGATTTCATTGCAGAAAAATATTAATTTTTGCAAATATTTTCAGGTGGTTGGCATAGTGTTGGCATTATGGCTCGCTCACTCGATCAAGAATGACGGGAAAAGTCAGGAAACGGCCTAATTACTAAACACGATAGCTTTTTAATGCACTATACTTAAATTATATCGTATTGTTAAACGGGAATAAATACATACGGGCCTTTTGCATAAAGTTGTCTTGAGAAATGTTTTGCGATACGAGCCGTTGTTGTTTGAAAGTCGCGCGCTAAAAGACTTATTTCCAATTTATTCGGAAGCTTTATTTAAATAGGGTTTAATTTACGTATAAAATAAGTTGGTACTGATTTATGTCAAAAATTTTGAATCCTACATGAACCGCGTCGTTGAATTAAAAAACAGCGTACTCTGTAACTCCAATACAAATTTTCTTCCCATATTAAATTTTTATACAGCCCAATCTCAAGGTTGTATAATCCGCGCTACGGATTTAGAAATATAGTGCCACATACTTTTCATGGCCGGTAAGAGCGTCGCTGTCATAGATATTAGTATTGCCAGTAAATAAAAATTAACCATTATAAGGGGAATAATTTGAAGTCATGGCTAACTTAATAATTTATTGAAATGTCTTAATAAAACAATGTATACTAGTATCTAGAAAATACAATTCTAGGCGTAAAAAATGTGACACAAAAGGAACAACTGATATGGTAGGTTGTGTTACCTGTACTATTAATATAATATCTTTTAGGATACCTAGCAATCAGAACCATTCGATAATTAAAACTTTGCCAGTGTAATTAATGCAAGGAATAAAAACAAATATATTTAGTTGATAGTTGACGGTTTTTTTAGATGTTGGTACATAGTAAAATTATTTATTGTCCGCACCAGGAAGTTACAGAAAATAAACAATATCCCTCTGACATTTCACAATGACGACAGTAGTAGTACCAATTTCAGCTGCCGGCTCAGAAAAGTATGTGGCACTGTAACTATATTCAAATATATAAAACGACGAATACTAACTCTATTGGAGTACTGAGGCTGAAATCAATCAGTTATTTGAAAGTAGTGTACAATTTTAAAAATCGACTAAATCAATATTTTCACTATTCTAATCTTTCGTCTCTTTTTGTCAAATAGTGTTTCCACTGCGATGAAAAGAGGCAGACTTTAGTTGTATTAATAAGTGGTATGTGTGTTTTTAAAACTATTCCGTCTTTTAACGCGCGAAAAGCGTAGTATTTTCAGCTTTACGAGATGCTCTCTATTGTTATTTATATTTTTATATTAAAATACTGTAACCACCTTTTAGATTTAAGAACTAACGTAAGTATTTATTTAATTAAATTTTGAAAAATGTGGGAGCAGAGCTTATTTAATCGGTAATTCATTATTTTATACGAACGCAATAAAGTGCATTTATTATTTTCTTTTCAAAAATTTTCGTTACTTAAAATTGTTACTGTATTTTTGAAGTTGTACTTCTTTTGACGCGTAAATAAATTTTTACGATACGTGCGCACACCGTCACAAAAAACCGACACCCTGAAGTTAGCTATTGTCAACATTTTAGTTTTATCTTTTGTTAGTGTCGTTTTTTCTACAAACGTAAAATAAAATCTTGTTACGCCAAAGATGTATAACTTCTAACTATTGTACATAAGTACACGCACGTTTTTTTTCTCAAACCATTGGATAAATTATCAAGTTAATGCGTAGTTTTGTCGTAAAATTCAAATAAAAATAATAATAGCACTGAAAAAAAGGTAGGTGCACATAATAGGTAATGAACTTCCTCGTTAAACTGGGATTAAGTTAAATAAGATTATTTTTTTATAATCGATATATAAGTAGAGAAAGGTTCTGTAGGCTTTGCACACAAGCACAAATAGTGTATGAGAAATAACAGTCGTAGAGCACTTTATGTCGCGCACCACGTACGTAGAGTGAGCCACAACTTAGGAGCCTTCAAGAGTCTACCATTATCTTAAAAGCCGATAACACATCCGTTAACCTGCAGGCGTCGGTTGCATCGTTGGCACTTTATTAAGAACTTGTTAGTTTGTTCTTTGAATTTTTACGTGAAATGGATATTGGTTCTATAAGCGTCTTCCTGTTTGAACAAAAACACCCACTTTCTACTGTATAGTTTTTTATGAATTACACAATTTGATTATTTATTGTATGAGATAATTAAGTTATAGATTGAGTCATGACTTGCGGAGGTTTGCGTAACTGTAATAGAAAAATTTACATTCAAGAAGTGAAACGGGCACATCAAATGGAAAATTTTGGAAATTTTTAATATCATACAATTCTTCACATCATTCGTTCCTTCATCTCACACCATTCCAATCCATTGTATTTGATTGGGATGAAGGTATTTGTTTATTTTTTAAATCACTTACTGACTTATTTCCACATAATTATTACGTCCAGAACCGTTAAGAAGGCAAAAGGAAGAGACTGGCTGCCATTAGTGTACTTTCTCTTCTTTTTTAATTATGTGTAATAAAGTCTTCTCTTACTTTACTTCTAGATTTAACTATTGTTTTGTTTGTCCGCTCTAGTTCCTGTATTTGCGATTTTTAAATAATTAAAACATATAATGTGTTAGTTTTATTAGTGTTAAATCGATGTTACATAGAGTTTATTAAATAAACTATCAGTGTTTCAAATAACAACGCTTTTTATTGTGACTATGTGAATATTATTATATTGAACACATGTATTTAGTTATAATAATTGCATTTAAAAATATTAACGTGATTATGATAAAATTTGCTACTTTCATATATTTAGACAACAGCGCCCTTACACTGTAATTTCCAATAGCGACTACTATAACGACGTTTTAGTATGCATTCTCTGTAAGTTAACCAATGTAGTTCTCTTAGCTAGGGTGCTGGCGAGCATTTAAGTATATGATTTGCTCGTATTTCATATTGATAGGAATTAAATTTCTTTATGAATTAAAGTCGGACGTTGCTGCTTGTTCAATCTGTAAAAAAATCGATACTATATCACTTTCATTTTTTTTCGCTCTTAATAGAAAACGCAGCGCTACGATGGTGGTAGACTATTTTTCTGCGGTCGATCGCAGGGTTTTTGAACGAACACTGCAGGTCTGCCAAGCGTGCATTTCATATATATTTTTTAATTGAGTCTTAAAGAGTCCAAGATGTGCCTTTTTGTTTCATGTTGATAAGGTTTCTAAGCATCAGGTATGTTAAAACACATACCAATGATATAGGTATGTAGTATACCTACCTGTTTTTTTTAACGATTTTAAGGTGTCAATTGAAAACGAAGCGCTACCATGGTGGTAGAAATGGTCCTTAATATTCCTTATCGTATAATTATCGCTATTAAAAAGTCTGCCACATGAGAAAATCATACCGATATTTTGCTCGCCAGCTCCCTAGCTATCGCAATATGCGTTTTTCTACTTAGGCGAAATGAATTGCGCATTATCTTCCGCGGCGCGACTCCTTAGTGCGGGAGGGTTGAGTGGGACTCGCTATTGTGCATACTAAAACCCCATGACGCCACCAGCAACCGCCCTAGGAGGGATGCGGTATCAGCAGAGCCTTATCCACTTCCCGACACTCGATACGATGGTTGCGTCCGCCTCTCCATACCCGTTGTTTGTAATGATACATAGTATCCATCAGACCAGGCCATTTGCTTGCAGAGCTAGGGGAGATCGATTCCGTAGCGGTTCTGTCGCAACCTTGAAATTGCGTGGAACAAATCTGATTATTGAAATCGGCATCGCTGTCATTATCTATTGAAAGTTACTGTATAAGGGCCCAGGTTTTATGTCTGACGCAAGAAAAAGCTTATTTAAGCTTATGAAAGTTTCCTCTCATATATACGCTTATATCTATTAGACTTTTATACAAGTCGGGCTATAGTTTCAAATAACCCTATAATGCCATCAAAAACATAACTTCTAAAAAAAAGAGTCTAACTTAGTTCTACCGTAAAAAGATGTGAGAACTATATAATGCTAAGTCCTAAGGGACGTTTCGTCTTAAGTTATTACGTAATTAACTAACCTTACAACATCTTAGACCATATCAATATTAAATTAGTTTATGTTTTAATTAAATAGATTGACTAGGCCATCACATGAAAACACAATGTATTTTACAGGTATGTGTTAAATAAGATTTTTTTAGTGCGAAATTCAAGCTTCTAGATTTATCCACAACGAAGTTATAAAATCGAAAATAGGCTGAAGTGTTTCGAGAAAATATAGGCCGATTTTCCATTACACTATTCTTATATCACTATTATCCGTTAAACATACAAGCGTTATAACGATAAATATAACAAATACATCTTAAATTAAAAACAGTGGCGTAACTATACCATCTGGGGCCCGAGGCAAATTCTTTTGATGGGGCCCTGTCAGTGAAAATCGTCACGTTGTACTCAGTTTAATTTTAATAAATTTCGAGATTTTCATCTTACTCAATTACACGTTGTATATGTCCCACTAATGGCCAAAGGCCTCCTCTTTTAGGCGAGAGGGAATGGTATAGTCCCCGCGCTAGCCCAATGCGTATTAGACACTTCACATTCATCCATAGAACATAATATCTCTTAGGCAGGGGCCCTCTTGGGTCGGGGGCCCGTGGCATTTTGCCAGCCCTGCCACCTGTAACTGTACTGTGTGTAACTGTATTGTTACGCCACTGATTAAAAACATAACAACAGGAGAAAATCGCCTGACAAAAAATACTTACGGATATATCTATTGGTCCCCTGCAGCTTTCCGAACTTTTAAAACTACACTAAGAATACAAAAACTTATTAACTAAATGAACTAATTAAGACGACACAATTTAAGCTATTATCTTTTATATTTTTATATATGGTCGCTGTCACTTAGCAGAGGTCGGCAACGCAGCCACTAAAATGGGACTGCCCTAGTCATCGCAGCCCTTGGATTGTTTTGCACTACCCTATTTTAAAAAATTACACCAGTTATCTCGAACATTCGATTGTTTTTGGTGAAAAAAATTATGAAGGCTACCACAAAAACTCACTAATTAAAGAAATGTTCTACTTGTTTATCACAGAATACAGCTAGTTCTCATTTTATAATTTATATGATTTATAATAATTTGTGTTCTTAATTTGTAAAGATTAAAATACATTAATAGAAAAAATGTGAACTATTTAGTGTTAAGGTAAATGTAAGAAAATGATTTAGTTCGGCTATGTGAGAGTCGAAATTAAGTTTCGAAATGAGCCTGCAGTGTTTGTTGAAGCTTTCGACGCTCGCTTGCTACTCCTCTCGCCATGAAAATTGCCAGTATTATACAAACGATCTGAAATCAAAAAACTTATACAGATAATCAATACGTCAAAATAGTTCATAAATTTTACATAAACTCTAAAGACCATAAGAAGTTTTTGGTTTATAGAACGCGATTGAGCGATTAAAAAAGTGAAAATCGATAGCATCCAGCTACCCTCAGAGTCGTGCATTAATAGTGTTTTGTAACGACGTTACTATAGATTCTTTACTTTAGATATCGGAAGTTTAAATCCTTCATTAAGTCGATCGTTAAATGATAGGACATTAAAGTTGGTAAATCTATAATAATAATTTAATTTACTTTGACTACAAGTGTATATATAAAAAAAACGTGTGAGTACTTATGTACACGCGTTAGAAGTTATACTTCTTTAGCGTAACAAGATAAAAATCTTTTCAAAAATGTTATTCTATGTTTGTAGAAACTAATATGTTAAACTAAAATGGTGCTAACTTCAGGGTGTCGGTTTTTTGTGACGGTGTGGGCGCGCATCGTCAGAAGAAGTATAACTTCACAATAAGATACATAATGACACTCAATGTAAACAGATAATTTCCTATCGTAACGTATATCGAACATTTTATTTACATAAATGTTATTATGAAATTACATATAAAATCCAAAATATACAAACCTCAAACAAAGTGAATATTATACCAGTGCTAATAAAAATATTTCCCTTAATAGTCTTCTTTTCTCTCAACACTTGCTCACACCCCGTCTTGTAGTACGACCGATCAGCAAGGCAAGTCGAATGCAGTTGGCGTCTTGCTCCACCCTGTCGAAGCGGATGGGCTCGGGAACAGCAAGAATCCGGTATTTCAAGATGTATAATAGCATAGTCTTGGGGTCCATCGATGCCACAGCATTGGTTCTGGAGATTTTTGGAAGATTTTAAACAGTGACAATAAATCGGCAACGACCAATCCCTTGGGTAAAGATGTGGGGTCACTCTGCATCTTCTACCGCATTTAACATGGAGAGAGTTCAGAGGAGTTGTTCGGATTAATAGCTGCAGCTGTGTTTCATCGTCGGACGTCGAGGCAGAATACGAAATTCCACCCGTATCACCTCGACGTCGTTCCACAACTGAGCCTTTCTTAAGGCAGTTTTGCCACGCACCACCACTATGTGGAACCAGCTGCCCACTGAAGTATTTCCTAACCAATTCAACTGAGGGTCCTTCAAGAAAAGAGCGTACCAATTCTTAAAAGGCATTTGCGAGCCCTCTGGCATTGAGTGTCCATGGGCGGCGGTATCACTTAACATCTGGTGAGCCTCCTGCCCGTCTGTAAGAACTGAAACTATTTGAATATGAAGTAATATTTCCATATAAATAAACCCTTTTATATAATTACATTCATACATATAAGAAAAAAGACACGACTGAAGAGTGAAGACGCTATATTGAAGTGTTACTTAGATTTAAGAACCGTTAAATAAGTGAAGTTTTTTATTAGCATCGCAACCCCTAATTGTATGTTTGTTATAAGCTCATGTTTTAAACAATTAAAGCCAGTTCACCCAGCTTCAAACAAAATATTTAATTTAACATATATTAGAACATTAACAACAACCACCACCGAACTTAACTCGCCTACTGAAAAATATATTTAAGTACCTCAGACTGTAAATGATCCCAAAAGGCTTGCTGATCGCCTCCCTGGTCATCAGCAGTAGAGTTCCTATAGAACTGTACTCTTAACTCGTTTCCACCTCCCATCCAGGCGCTCAAGACGGCGCCTCCGACACCCACCAATACTTCCACTGATAAGAGGAATATCAAAAAGCAGGCGTGCTGAAATGAAATGAAAATGATATTAAATTATTCCTTATTAAATTATGCACTGTGCATTTTAAATACCAAAAGTGTTCTCTTTCAATATGATAGTTCTGCTGCAACGCCGCCAAAGGCGCTGTAAGATTAATAAATAAAACAAATCTACTATTTTTAATATTGTGTAAACTAAAGTTTAAATGAACTATAATCTCAAATACCACATAAAGAATCTTCACGTTCTCTCTCAAAGCACCAATACATCCAAGAACAGCTGTGACCAGTAGACCGACACCCAGAGTGAGAAGGAATGACAAAACAGCACGAGAGAGCGCCGACTGATTCTCTGGACGAGACTTTTTCTCTCGCATGTTGATGACGCATATCGCCATCAGCACAAGACCGAAGAACTATAAATATAAAATAGTGTTATTCAAGAAAATCACAATGCACAATTTGATTTTCTTCTTAAAAATCAAAATCATTAATTCATATAGGTTCAAAAAAGATAAAAAAAATATATAATTACATTAAATACTTCTAATTTTACATTTACTGCCAGTTCTCAAATCAAGGGCGTAGAACGTAAGAGAAGAACTGGCAATAAACTCCCCGTCACTCTTTTTAATCGGCAAGATTGTTTGTTTTATACAATGATTGTAAGGAGCTGCAACCAGTACGCCATGTTCCACATGACTTCTTAAGTAATTAATAGTTAATTATTAATAATAAAATATATTAAAAACAAAGATTTATCCTCTATCAGCAGGAGGTATGGTGAAATAAGAGCATGCACTTATGTAACTAAACCCGGCTAGACCAAAGAATCGTCTTGTTTCAACCACGGAAGGCCACCTACAAGGTTATGAAAGAACTTATCAAAGAGATAGATGCCTGTTTTAACACAACGCCAGTAAAAGGGTTGTAGCGCCTCCGAAGTCAGTTAGACTAATTGATCGAAATGGTTAATAGCTTTGTATGGAATCCCACTAATATTAAGTAGGAGAAAGAAAGAAGGACACACTTTATTAACAAGATGTACAGACAATAAACAACGATGTTAAAAGAGAATATGCAGCATAATGCAATATGCTCAGGATTCCCTCGATGGGAGAGACCATTTGACATATTAATGATTTTAGATACTTGACATAATCAATTCTACATAACACTTAGATACATATAATTTACCTACTGTTGCACAAAAAGAATAATGATTCTAGTCCCTATAAAATCAATTACATAATTCAACAGTAGTATTTTTTTATTGAACAGGGGTCAAACGGTCAGGAGGCCCACCTGATGTTAAGTGACACGCCTATGGACACTCTCAGGGCGCGCGAGTGCGTTCCCGGCCTTTTAAGATTTTTTTCCTTCTAATGTAATATGTAACGCTTTATTTATATGGAAATATTAGTTTCAGTTCCGTCAGAACATTTAGACCTCTTGAGCGTCTATACCAGTGTTTCCCATTGTGGGGCCACGCCCCACAGGGGTAATTTGATTGTTAAGGGGGCAATTCGAAAATCGACTCGACGTTTTTAATTTTTTTTTAATTTACTTACTGTGTTTCTTTAACAATTTCCTAGTGGAAAAACCTAAGTTTCTTAAGTAAGCAATTCATTTGTTTATATTAAAAATTATTGATTGATTTTTAGAAATGCTAAGCACATGGCACATGGCTGGGAAACACTGCTCCATACTCTTTGTACGTTCTGCCATAATAAATTTAATTTATTTAAACTTTTAAATTGGTAATTACATGTTGAAATGATTTATAGTAAACTAGACTTGTATTAAAAGAAATCTAAAACACTTTATAATAAAGACAAAGCTTCGTCAATCCGAGCGCGGAACAATAAATTACTGATTGCAATCGATATATGCCATTATTTATTCAAGCAGCCGTATCACTGAACGAAGTAGTTTGTTATATAGGTCTATATACGAGTATTTATAGTTTTGTAGGCGATCAAGTACCTGTTCAGATACTTCTAATCTAGATAGATGGAGACCATTTCCGTGGAAGATGAAAAGTCTTCGTATAACAAAAGAATTTTAATAGGAGCATTTCATTTGTGTATTCAGTTGGAATGTCGTATGTAGTCAAATCGAAAGTAATATTAATGAATTTTAAAAGAAGATATAACTTGCTATCACCAAAAACACACATTTTCAGTGGGCCAATACTGTGTTAGAGTGATAGCTATACACATACAAAAAATGCTAACTATTACAATTAAAATGACTTAAAATAATAATATCAGTTTACTAACACAAGCAAACATGATACAACGAATTTAAATTCCCAACCCAACTGAAAAGGCAACATTTGCATTTTATCTTGGATGACAAAATTAGATATCGTGGATATCGTGAGACCTGGCAATTCCAGCATTAGTTATGAAAAATAGTCAAACAAGCATGCACATCAAGAGAAAACTTTTCAACACATGCATCCTACCAAACCTCACATACGGCTGCCAAACATGAGCACTTACCAAAGCACAATGTGAAAGATTAAGCGTAACCCAGATAGCCATGGAAAGAAGTATAATAAAGAAAAGAAGAATTGACAAATTAAGTAACAAGAATTTAAGGGATAAAACAGGGTTTGCTGACGTTGTATATAAAACAAAAGAACTAAAATAGAAATGGGCTGGACATACCATAAGAGGAGTAGATAAATGGAACAAAATTGTAAAACTATGGCAACCAAGAGGCCATAAAAGAAACAGAGGTAGGCAATTTAAAAGGTGGGCCGATGAAATCATGGAAATGGCTGGAAAGACCTGGACGAGATTGGTATACAATAAGGAAAAATGGAGGACAATGGGGGAGGCCTTTGCCCGTAGGCACACAGGATCAGTTATCGTTGATTAAGAAAAACATTAGTTATAATGTATATCTTTTGTATTTCTAATATAAGGCTATAAATTAATAAATAAATAAAATTCCAGCATTTAGTTTGTATTGCATCTAAAACTACCGTGTTGTATGTTTCTAATACTTAAGTATATAAAAGATGATTCCAAAATGGCTAATAATGGCCGCAAGTTTGCGTTACATCCAAATCGTCAGATTATTAGATGAGACCTTTTTTTAGTGTTCACTTAACATCCCCTTAAGAAAATCTGACGAGCTCGATTAATTTTATGTTCCCATTTTCAACCCCTACGTACAACCACTCTCATCATGCAGTCAATAAGTACATTATTAAAAATACGAAGAACATGGATGCTATCAATATCTGACTGGTAAAAAGGTATACATTAATTTTTTTTTCTTATTATTATCTAAGCTTCGCAACTCAATAGGTCTCTATGATGCTAATGTAAATCCCCATTTAGCATCGTGGGCTCATTTACTGTTAGGACCAATACGGTGCGTATTTATCCGTCGTGCGTATCATAGCGTGATTTTGGAATATTCAACGATAAAATACCCCACTAATCTAGGGGAATCTAGGGGAACACTTAGTCCTTATTTTCATGTTTATAATTATTTATAAAGACTTTTGATTATAAATTAATTAAGCGTACCTAGTGCTTGTTTCTGTTAATATTGTTACCTAAAGTACTACGATGTGTTAGATGTAATACAATCTTTTAGATTAAATAAATTAATTAGGTTTGTTTTATTTTACAACAATAATAAAATAATAAATAATCACCAATAAATATTGAAAAATATGCAATACATGTATGTTATATACTCGTTTAAGTTTGCAGCGGGCATTTAAACTGGGAAAATCCGGGGCATAAGTACCTACCCGCAATGATTTGGCGTAGGGACACATATATTTAAATTTAAAAATCTATTTTGCAAGACTATATTTATAATCTAGTTTACAGACACCCTCTGCTTCACCTGTGCTTCAGTATAAGAGAGTGATATCATATCAAATTATATATTAATTGCTTAAAATATATTTAAAATATAAATAAAAAGGTACTCACAATAAAAATGATATTAAACAGGGTCAGAAAGAATTTCATACAACGAATGCTACGCGGTTTCATTATAAGCTTTGTTTGATTGAAATTTTAAAATATGTGTAGTTTAACTGGCGTGACTCGACAAAATGAGTGTGGTATCGATCATTGCAATGAGTACCATTGTTGGTCAGTAAGCGTACTGTGACGAGCGAAGCGACTAGCGAAATATATTACTTTTTTCGTGGCTGGGCCATCGATCTGCCCTGAGATTCTGTAACTCACTTTTCGAACTCACACAGCGGTTTTCGAATCGGCGGTCGCTCTCAAATCAGTCGTGATGCAGTCATTTTGTGATTTGGCATTCTGAAAAGGTGGGAGCTTGTAGTTTATTGTTTATTAATCGCAGGGCAGTTCTCTTAGCTTCTTCTTTTCGACACATGAGTCATGACCACCTCGCAGTATCAATGCCAAGAGTTGACAATTCGACGTGTCGTATGTTATTTTGAATATTTAAAGAATATTAAGCTGAATTTAATTTAAAATAATAATAATAAGGTTAATTAAGTGGTCGTGACAAATTATTTAGACAATGATTGTAGAAGAACCACAAGATTTTTTTAAAAACAAAACATACAGAGAAAATAATGGACGTAGAGAGATTCTACTGTTTACCTGTGCTTTGTTATAAAAGAGTGATATAAGCCCTTTTTCAAATTAACAATGATAATAATGTTTTTTTATAGAACAGGGGGCAAACGGGCTCACCTGCCGCCGCCCATGGACATTCTCAATGCCAGAGGGCTCGTGAGTGCGTTGCCGGCCTTTAAGAACTGGTACTAATTGTAAATTTAGTTTAAATTGCTTTAAATATATGTATTTAAAAATCAAGCAATAATCAATATATGAGTACCTATATTTGCATTAATCATTGACCAGGTCTTATTTTTATTAAATTTGTCTTAATTCTTTTCTATAGTCGAAATTTTTCTTTGTATCATAGCATACTTACTTTAAAATCGCTAATCGCTCCGCTCAACACAGTGCTTTCATTATCGAGGTAATGGGAATACAGGTGGTTGTTTCCCCACAACTTACCTTGTGATTTGCAAATTATAAAAATACTAGCCAATAAATAAATTAAATACTAATTTTTGTCGCGTTTTGTGTCTGTAATTATGTAGAAACTGGCATCAAGCAAGGCACTACTCGATGCAATACAGCATGATGTGAACAAATATTTCATGATGGAGTCAGTTCTACTTCATCCCTCGAATTTAAGATCATGTAATTATTATTCTTTGCAAAGTTAAAATATCGATTAAAAGCAACTCTTGTCGCATTTTTGAATGGTTTGTCTGCGAAATCGTGTATGTGACTGGATATTGACTTTCTTATCATGGGAGCCTATTATTTGTGTAATAGAATAATGTGCACTTTCGTAATCACCAGATACGTAAAATGAAAGACGTTTCATTCAAATCAAATTGGTCAATAGAATCTCTAGACTATTATATGCGTTAACACGCGAAGTTATGAGTCATGATATTACGTCCATTTCCACCAATCAGTAACGAACGCAACGTTTAGTCTTGCGTCTTTTGTATAATATTTTTCGTTCGGACCTGCAGCTGAGTTTCATCGGACGTCAAGGCAGAATACAAAATACCATCCGTATCACCTCGACGTCCGTCGTTCCACAATTGAGCGTTTCTTAAGGGAGTTTTCGCCGCGCACCACCACTTTGTTGAACCAGCTACCTACTGAAGTATTTCCAAACAATTGGTCCTTAAAGAAAAGAGCGTACCAATTCTTTAAAGGCTGGCAACGCACTTGCGAGAATTCTGGCAATGTGTGTGTCAATGGGCGGTGGTATCACTTACCATCACATTTCGTAAAAACAAAAAAAATAAACTTCAAATTAAAATTGCATGGAGGTCGAAGTTGCTTAGCATGTAGCATGTTGTTTATGGTTTCTTAGATTGAGATTAAACTTAAAAATATGCAGCTTACAAAATTCTGAGCAAACTTTTTTGCAGTTTATATGACGAATTAGAGGAAAACACCAGGAAAATTGAACTATGTTTTAAACTTAAAAAAATAAATAAATACACAACCACAGTTTTAATCATTTAATACATGACATTTTGTTTATAAACGTGTACTCTATTTTTGACATTATTTGCCACCCACATCGCTAACAGCATCCCAATTGCCTGAAAAGAATGTTTGTTTATAAGAAAAATGTTTTTATAAAAAAAATAATATACTTTGCAAGTCGTGTACTTCAAACACATTCCACCTTTCCAATAAAAATGTATTTAACTAGTTATTAGAAACCTACCAACACTCTCTTAGGATCTAGAAATATTTAAAAAACTTCCTTAATAACTGTTAAAAAAATTGAGGGGCTTCTATTCGTAAGGAGTGAAAGTTTAGTTCCACCTTTTCACTACTAAACATGGATACAAAAAAGTCTACAAACTCCAATACTAAATTACTCGCGCCTGGCGCTTTTTTAAAGCAATTGTTGTTTATAGCAAACTTATTAAGCCCGCTCTGAAAGAAATTAAGTTTTCAATATTATATTACTTGTAACGTATGCTTGGATATATCTGTCGCGGAAATATTTAGTATACTATTTTATCTTACGTTTAAGAAAATATAACGCCTGTTTCTTAATAAGCAACCGACCCCAAATTAGCAGTTTAGGCGGTTTAGCGTAATAAATAAACTTAATTATTTAAAAAATATAAAACTTTTAAAGAACCTCAAACCAGAAGCTAGTCATAGCAACACCCTGAAGCCATTCAGCGTTAGAACGAAGTACAGCAAGAATCTCGTCTTCACATCCATCAGGGAAATAGCTAGAAGCTCTGAAATATGTTAATTCTTATTTCTTGTAACGACCTCAGACCCAGACCACGAAACTTTATAAAAATCATTCCAGAAGTAGTTATATACCTATAATTTAATAATTAGGGCTAACTTCGACCTTCGTTTTTAAAAATCAATTTCTAATCCTAAATAATATAAAAAAAATAATTCTAAAAAGAAATTGTAATTTTTTTTAGTCTTTTAACCTAGAAAAAGCTAACAAGAGACTCCATTGTTTATCTTCTCTGCTAAAAAATGTAAATCGGTTGCCCTATCGGTTTAGTTATTGGCATATTTGACTGCAAGTGACAGGAGGAAACACTCTGTTTTCTTTGTCTATCAAAATACGATCATGATGATATTAGGATGAGTTCATAAAGTCAGGCAGGCCTGCGTCTGATACTGCATTACTTTAGTGTTAGTAGCTGATATAACTGCTGGCATACAACATTGAAGTATTTCCGAACCAATTCGACTTAGGGTATTTCAAGAAAAGAGCGTACCAATTCTTGAAAGGCCGGCAACGCACTCGCGAGCCCTCTGGCATTGAGAGTGTCCATGGGCGGCGGTATCACTTAACATCAGGTGAGCCTCCTGCCCGTTTGCCTCCTGTTCTATAAAAAAAAAACAAATAAAATCTTATTGACACTATCTCATTTGAAATAAATAAAAAAACACTTTTCGAGTCAATTAATTTTAACCTAAAATCTAATAAATTAATTCTTAAGCCGGGCATCCACTATGTTCGCGAACCTCTTGCGCTCCGCGCTCCCGTAACCGCTCTGATGGAGACGGTAACGCGTATCTCCATAGAAACACGCATGCAACAGACTGAGCTCCCCTTTGTATTTGCCCAATTTACCGCCACCCATTGGAGGGCTGAGCGCGGAGCGCGCACCGTTCACGCTCCACGTTCGCAAACGTATCCACTACGCGGGGCTGTTGCAAGTGCGCGGAGCGCAAGAGGTTCGCGAACATAGTGGATAACCGGCTTAACATTTAGTCATGTCAGATACTTCCTATACTGTTCCATCTAGATTGGACACGTTTGCAACTCCTACTTCTTTCATCCATCGCTTTGAAAGTTTATCAAATGACACTTACTCTAAGCAAGCATTGTACAGCATCATCTGAGCGTATTCCGTTTTAGTTTTATACGCTTTTGGGCAACAGGAGATGGCCACATGTTGGCCCATAGCATGATAATCCTCTGGTCCATTTAAGCCACAACATTTGTACTAAAAATAATATAAACATAATTTTTAAGGTACTATTAAAATCGCTGGTGTATTTTGTATCTATTTTGACGTTATAAAGATACAGATGGATAACACCAGATGTATCATGAAAAGAATAAAAACCAAAACTAAAATGGTTGATTCTGTGTATGTAATAGTAAAGTTAATTGTGTTTCTATGTTTTAGTCTCTGGCGATTTGGGCTGCGCCTGTAATGTGAAGTATTTCTGTTACTATTCCTTATTCAAATTTTATTGTAAAAATTAATTATTATTAATTAAATAACATCTTACAGCAGTTTGCAGCTGGTCCCATAGTTTCCAGTGCGTTTCATCAATATTTTTCTTGAAGAAATCTTCTTGAAGCCACTCTATGACCCTAAATTCAAGACTGTACCGTTGCACACCCACGAAAATCACAACAAGAAGCCCAATTACCATCATTATCATTAATAATCCGATGTACTGAAAACAATATTAACCTTTATTTAAAAAAAATAACCTAGCTGTAGTACTTTTCTGTCTCTTTTCATGACGTCGTGAACACAATTTGATAGAAAAAGTCGAAAGAGAGTCAAGGAAATTCTTTCCTATTGTTTGCCTTAATACCCTGGAATCCTAAAAAGCCTGATTTCGTAATTGTGTAGTAATAGTTTAAAGATGTAAGTGTATGCTAGACTTCGATTTGTACTACGAGAATATAAATATGTACTTGTTTACAAATATATATACGTAATTAACAAAAATATTCTCCAAGCCGAGTTGGCTATGGCACCTTATCTTAATTGGGATAAACTGTTTTTGCTGTAATTACTACGAGGCTACCAAACTCTGAACAAAACAACCAGGCTTGCTAAAGTTACTTTCTAAAACAGCCTTGCGATTCTGTAACTACCTTTTCGAACTCTCACTGCGGTTTTCGCAGCGGCGGCCGCGCTCAAATCAGTCGTGAAGCAGTCATATTACGATTTGGCATTCTGATAAACAATAAACTACAAGCTCCCTCCTTATCAGCGAAAACCGCAGTGAGAGTTCGAAAAGTGAGTTACAGAATCGCAAGGCAGTACAAAAATGTATCATGTTCACTGGTTATAGATAACTTAAAAAACTAAAATACATATAATAAAAGTCATACTAAATATAGTATCTTAACGTTGTTCCTCATCGTCCCAACAAGGCCAAAAATGGCAACTGATAGACCAAGCCAACAGATGAAAATCACCACGATGTCTCCGATATAGGTACCAGCTGCAGATTCCTCACCATACTGCTTCAGCACTCGGGAGTCAGCCACCGTGAAAACGAATGTACATATAGCTATGAGCTGGAAAAAATTTACTGTTTACTGAAAGTCGCTTTTAAGAATCAAAAGGCAAAGAATCCAGTCTACCAGAGTATTTTTGAAGTGAAACTTCTTTAGGCGCATGAGGGTAAATTTATTACGGATGAAACGCAATAATAATATTAGCGTCACGAAGATGTGCAACGTTTTTGTCGAAGAAAAGGGAGAGAGCGATTGAGACCGATTGAGAGAGAGTGAGAAAAATTGTATAGTTTATATTTATGACTAATAAAATATATTCATCATTTGAGATTTCAATAAATTATTTTGGATAAAATATAAAATCCAAATATTAAACAAATTCGTGTTAGTTACACCACTTATAACTCAAGATCGGCTGGACCGATGTTAGTTATCTCTTTTTTGGTGGATTCTTATCCGCTCCGAATAGCAGTATGTATAAGAAAATATCGGATAAGTAATGGAATAACAATAAATAAATTAATTAATTTTACGAATGCAAACAGCATGTGGTGCCATCTGTTGACAAAACTACGCATCCATTTACATCGAATTCGTGTCAGTTCAAGAAATTCCGATCTTGAGGTGAATGAGGAGATGCATAGCCAGGCTTTGATCTTGATCGAAGACATGTGTTACATCATTTAAAAAATTGTATATCAGAAAGGGCTAGAGAGAAGAGGCCTATTGTGTAAAACTGCCATTCTTCTTTCACAATGGCAAGCAATAAAACATTTTTGTATTTGCAAAAAAAGTTGTATTAATATTATATAGTTTAAGGAAATCCTAAATTAAGTCTAACTAACACGATATTATTAGACTGTTAGGCGGAACGAAGTCAACTGGGTCGGCTAGTACTTAATAATTCTCTCTACGAAATTTTAATTTTAAAAATAGAATGTATATTTTCAATTTGTATATATATATGCACAATAATGGGTATACAAACATGGAGTGATCATATACTACATGATCATCGATTGTGGCTTTTACCATAGTAATCATTAATTTACAAAGAAGTTTCACTTCTGACATGTGTAGGGACTTTGCACGCAAGCACTTTTTTGAAGTTATACTTCTTTAGGCGCGTTATGAAAAATTGATGAGAGTGAAATTTTACTATGCGCGCGCACCGTGACACAAAATTAACAGAATGAATTTGCCCACGGAAGATGCTTCGGCATTGGACATAATTTAAAAACAACATTCGAATAATAATATAATTTATGTTACACTTAATGTAAGAGAATAATAATAAATATTTATTTATTTAATTTTTCAAATGTAAACTGAATTTTATTGACTATAATGACTCCTTTTCAGCCTTTGATTATTTAATTGTAATTAATTATTTGGATGCAATCAAAAACTATTTTTATTTTAATTATAACTTCTTACGCGCGTACATAAGTACACACACCCTTTTTTTTAAATATTAATGTTCCTGACAATAATGATATCTTCTTTATTAGTGAAACTAATTGTTACAATTTTAGTAAAGGAAAATTACGTGTAATGCTAGCCAGGTGGCTATGTACCCACGGTCGTGCATTAAAATTCTGTTTCTGGATCGATTTTTAAAACGGTCAAGGTAAATATCGTAAGAAATATTGTCTTAGAACCGATTTGATGTTTTTCAAGCACAAAGAACTGATGACTTTCTATTGTATAGAGACCAGCGGACTCAAAAAATAGTAGCAATTTTATTCTTCTTTTTAATTATATAATAGGGGCACAAATGAGCATTCGGGTCGCTCAAAAAGAGCAGTCATTGCAGCCCATAGACACCCATTGCATGCGTGTGGGTGCGTTGCCGGCCTTTGAGGGAGGAGTACACTCTAAGAGAGTCGACTTTTTGAATAGATGGAGGTCGTATCTCTCAGGGAAGATACGGGGAGTCGATTCCACAGTTCGCTATTTCGCAAAAGTTATTAGTTTATTATTGTATTTATAAGTGCAAAAACTACATGTGTGCGTCACAAATTTGACACACATACACATCAATACTTGAACATAAAATTTAAAAACCAAGTAAAAAACTAACTAACTAACTAACTAACTAAACTGGACCATTAAAAGTAGCAGATAAGCGAGCTGTAAGTGCGTATAGAAAACTTTTGGTTCTAACTCTAGGATTACAAAGAAAGGAAAATTTAGCAAGGTCGGTATGGTCGGTCATTGAATATTCTTGTTTTCCTATTGATCCCAAAAGTTACGTTCTAATATAAAAGAAAGAGAGATCCATAGATATTTTAACAAGATACTAAATATAATTGTAAGCTAAATACTGATTCAATTCGGTTGGCGATTTTAAAATAACGTTAAAAGCGAAATAGAGCTTGCATGTTACAGATCGCTTTTTTATAATCGTTTGATAATTCATGTAATAACTTACAATGCAGCACACGTTTAAAATAATTAGTACTCCTTTAGCGCACATAACGCTGAAAGTCTTAATTTTTTTCATTTTTACGACCGTGTTCTTTGCGACCATATTGAATACTGAAAGAAAATCTTTGTTCTAATATCAATAAGCAAGCAGTTTTGAGCCTTATTATGTCTTATTAGGGTTAATTTTAAAAAGCAATACTGTTTTTGTAATATTTCCCATAGGAAATAACAGTTGTACAGAATATTTAATTCTACTTGGACTGATTGTCCTAGATTTAAAAATGTAAGCCGGTCAATGGAACACTGTATATTTTATCATTGCTACAAAATGTTACCTAAACTTTGTGTATGTATGTTATTCATCCAATAAGTTTATTATTTTATAAAAATAACATGTTTTTTTATTATTTATAAAAAAAAGGTCTCAGATTTCTGAATCTGTTTCATGATAATTTTTCCATCTAATAGGCGAGTAGGTGATCATCCTCCAGTGCCTGACACACGCCGTCGACTTTTTGGGTGGCTTTTGGCTTTTGGTTTTAAGACATGTCGGTTTCCTCACGTTTTTATTTACCGTTCGAGCGAATGTTAAATGCGCACATAGAAAGAAAGTCCATTGGTACACAGCCGGGGATCGAACCTACGACCTCAGGGATGAGAGTCGCACGCTGAAGCCTAGGCAACACTGCTTTTGTATTATTTAAGCTCTATAAAATATAATGGTCCTGTTAACAAATTGTGTCGGATTTACAATAAAAATGTGATAAAAAATGACTCAGTGGATATTTTAGCAACTTTCGCCGAGTCGTTTTAGAAATCTTGCTGTGTTAATTATTTGCTATTACTATTATATTTATTCCTTCATAATAATGTATTTACTGTGTATATTCGCGGATGCTTGGCGGGCCCATGCGACTTCTTCAATACAAAGAGTCCCATTGTGAGTTGTGTGCTCGATATTGCGGTCTACTCGATTGTGAGGAAGTTGCATGGATCTGGTTAGCACTGCGCCTTCTTAGTTCTCATGTCATTTTCACACATGTATTACACATTTCATAATTATCTACTTCTCCATCTAACGCGTGTGATGTTTGAGAGCAAAAATAAAATAAAACATCAAAGTCTTCATAATCGTGTATTGCCATTAAAATACTACTTATATTACATATATGTTAATATATTAATAATAAATAAGTACAATCCTAATAAATTGATTTTGTGATAATATTTTTCACTGCTTTTCTGAAAAGTTGACGCTACAAAACTTGTAAAATCTACGAATACTACTCTTATAATTAAATGTTTAAAACTTATTTAATACATAATTAGAGTAAGTATGGATGCTATCAACAAGATAGAAGCACTGATTGTTCCACTGGAATTCCACGGGGTCACGGGATCACTGAAAGAAATAATCCGGAATTGTAAAATGCCAAATTTAAGTAGACATAGACATAACATTTATTACTACTACGGAACACGCACACAGAAACACACAAAATAATAATAATCATCAAAAAATAAAAAAAACATTATGGAAAAATAAAAAAAGGAATAGTGTACATTTTAGGCGCGAACCATACAGAAAAGGCGTAAGGTGAAGGCGCGGCGCAGGCGCAGAGCCGGCGTGGAACAGATAAGGCACGGATGCGACTTAAATTATATCAAAGAGGCAAAGAGTCATTACGCAGGCTGACTTTATCGTGATAGCATGTCTTCCTCTTCAGATGACGAAGATGCGAAATTCCACTCTAGTCGCGACTATCCTGTACGCGACGTGCCTGTGCCACGCCGCTTGAGTATAATTAACAACGTGCCTCATACATTTTGTATTGACGCGTTTTGAAACGGCAAGATGCCTGCGCCGCGCCTTCACTTTACGCCTTTTCTGTGTGTTTTGCGCCTTAAGTGTGTATTGTGTGTGTGTTGTGGTTGTAACTGGCCCTGGCTCAGCATTATGCTGTGAATCAGATGTGTTCCACAGCGCTGATAATTCTGCCAGAGACCACAACACTTAGTTTGCGGCTCAGACGCAAAAAAAATAAAAAATAATGTAATAGAAATAATAATAGTAAAAATTAACAGTGTTAGTAAAGAAGTCTTGGAAGATTGGTGTGTAAAAGTATATCGTAAATAAAAAATAACAATAATTGTTACTAAAACTACTACAAATAAAAAAAAATCAATGGCGTTACAACCTTTTCAGGTCACGGCCTCAGATTTCTGTTTCATGATCATTTGTTTATCTAATAGGCAAATTGGTGATCAGCCTTCTGTGCCTGACGCACGCCTTCGACTTTTTGGGTCTAAGGCAAGCTGGTTTCCTCACGATGTTTTCCTTCACCGTCCGAGCGAATGTTAAATGCGCACATAGAATGAAAGTACATTGGTGCACAGCCGGGTTCGAACCTACGACCTCAGGGATGAGAGTCGCACGCTGAAGCCACCAGGCCAACATTGCTCTATAGGATATACTATAAGAAATAGATAAATAAATAGTTTTGCTTCGCTTGTTGTGACAAATAAAAATATGCAAGAAATAAATAGTAACAGATTATCCAATTGCGTCAGTACTATGTACAGCGTAAGCTATACCGATTTCAACGTTTCTGTATGCCATTTATAAGCATACGGAACGGAAGGAGGACGGAGAATTTTGTTAATTATGTGAACCTTTACAATTTGACCGAAGCACTAAGGAGCGCAGCCTTGCTATTCTGTAAACAATAAACTACAAGTTTCCTCCTTATCAGAATGCCAAATCGTAAAATGACTGCTTCACTACTGATTTGAGCGCGACCGCCGCGCCGCTGTGAAAACCACAGCGTGAGTTCGAAAAGTGAGTTACAGAATCGCAAGGCAGATGTCGCGAAGTTGTAATGACGAGTTTCAAAAACTCAACGTTGAAGGGCTGTGGGTGCCTGCACCACAATGTATTAAAAAAATTGTTACGAGACTATCAAACTCTTTAATCACCTTCCTAGAAGTTATAGATGTTATTAAGAAGAAAGTGCCTTTATAGCTTGGGCGAGTATTTAGACCATAGGTTTGACAACAATTATAAATAACTTATTATTATGACATTACGTTAATGTTCTTATCCTTTTTTTTATGTTCTTATTATATGACATTATGTTTTTTTTTTATATGGCTGATTGATTTAAGTCCGGCTTGCAAACTCTATTGGGAGTTACAGAGTATCGCACAGTACCTAATTTAATGAATGCTCAAACACGGTGTGTGTTTCTAATATTTATGATTGAAAAAACAACACACACAAAGCTAATCAATTACCTAACTTGGGTGGTCACAGATCAGTAAACACCATTAAATGTAATATGTTTATTATTTTTTTGTAACATTTATGTTTACCATAATTGTCATGTATTTTAGAAAAGGTAGCTTGTAACATAATATATTGTATAGCATTTTATATGATGTGGTGAACTTTAATAAATAAATAAACACTAGCATGTACTACAGAAATTGCGCATCTGCTGACAAAACAAATGAAAACTTCTTGGTCATTCAAACTACGAATTGAAATCTACCTTACTAAGAATGAAGAACGACAGACCAAAGACGAAACGGTGAGTTTGGTTGTGATTGGACAAACACACAGAATGGACTAGAGATGCGGTTGACCAATCAAAATGATTTAAGCATGTAGATGATGAATTTCTATGTCGTGTTTTTAGGTCTAAAAATTTTTTTTTAAAGCCACTTTAATTCCATACTATAAAAATTACAAATAAGATGGGTGTTAGTTTTATTATACACTTAGTCTTCGTTAGTTATTATTTACTTCGTGTTCTGCAGTATGGCCTAAAATAAAGGCCTCAAAATTCCAAATTTTAATTTACTTAGTTTTATTACATGATCGCTTGTGAATGGAACGTAAAAAACATATGCGTCAAATTGTATTACCCGTCAGGTAGGTTTGAATAATTATATTATAAAACCCTGGCTGACTTTAGGACGAACAACTTCATCTTCCCACACACACTTTATACACAACATCTACCAAATTTAATAAGTAAAAATAGTGAATATAACTAACATGAAAAATACTTTTATTTTAGTGTTTATTTATTATCTCTACTTAGTTTATGGTTCTTTACTGTTGTTGTCAGCTGATTTATGTTCAGAAGGCGCCACCAAAACGAAATATTGCGACAATTCTTAAGGAAAATTCGTTAACTCCCGTTCGCACACTTACCTTAACCCTAAGATTCAGAAATGAGAAACGTTTCTGGATCTCTTAGGGCAAGATCTATAGAGCGCATTTAGGCTTTGCTCAAACTTTACTTACGAAAAACTTTGCTTAGTGTACACTAAGCATAAACTATGATTTAGTATTTATAGACATTTTAACGGTGAAATTAAGCTAAGCACAAGCTAAGACAGAATATTTAAAAATACAAAAACCGACAAAAATGAAAAGTCAAGTAAAAGAATGATGGTAAAGCAAATTTTGGGCCATTATTTTTGTTATGCTTATAGTCAAAGTTTTTGGTAAGTCGTCGATTTCGTGGACTTGACATTAAGCTAAGCTAACACGCAGAGAGATTCGCAGTTTGCTCTATAAATACCGACTGTGACTTAACTCGAAAGTTAAGTCTGAGCAAAGTGTAAGTGCGCTCTATAGATCTTGCCCTTCGTCTCGATTGTAAGACTTACCCATACAACCTTCTATTATAAACAGTATTATCCGTAATTCATATATTTGTTTCTTTAGTAATATTTCATTAATTTCAGAATAAGGGATGTAGGAATAACGGTTCTCAAATTTTTATTAAGTTTATTATAAACTTATTTATTAGATTAGATCGTATAGTGGTACAAGTAAAAAACATAGAAATGCATTTTGTTATAAGGAAAACCTATTGAATATTTAATTATCGTATTTTTCCTTAACATTATTCGTGGAATTCTCCATACATTCGTTTTTTATAAAGATCATCTCTTATTACTTACATTAGGTATTTAAAAATCGATATAAGTTTGTGTATGATGAACGCAATTATTAATAATTACGTTACAAATTTTCAGCATTCCTTAGAATCAATCATTAACAGTTAAATTAAGCAATTAAATCCTAATGATGGATTTGAATAAGGGATAACAAATATAACTGTAGATTACCCAAAAGCTAATAGGAGGTTTCTTTTAATTTTAGTTCCTTAAGTAATCGGGCACAACATTCTTTAGATTTAAATTATAACATGCAGTAGTACAGCTGTTAGTAAAATATTGGAACCTACACAATTCCAACAACACCACAAGCGGCGCGTCCCCCAGCATTTCCAGTCGTCTTTGAATCGGGATGATCAGATCTTCCATAGTCATCATCACTTTCATGTAGCACAATAGACCTTCCCAGAATGCAGTGAGGGCCATACAGAGCGATCATGGTGTCCATAAAATCGATTGTAGCCACGGAGTCTTCATTAAAAACTACGTTGCCTAAATCACCAACGTGACGGTTCTTGTCGTTCGGATGGCCATGTTGTTTCTGGTGAAAGAGATGGATGAAAATTTATTATAAAATTTGCCAAATAATTGATAAATGTACAATATTTCTAGGATAATATTTTTTAGTTCAACCCCAAGGATAATATTTGGGGTTAATCGTAGAGGGATGAAAACTCCCGCAGCGGCGGGAGAGTGACGTGTCGATCGCATGATTGGTAAATCAGTTGACGTTTGTGTTCCGCGCTGCGCAATCTTTCCCTCACTCCCTTGCTTGTTGTTCAAGATGTTTGCCGGTATCTGCCCTGCGATTCTGTAACTCACTTTTCGAACTCACACAGCGGTTTTCGCATCGGCGGTCGCTCTCAAATCAGTCGTGAAAAGGTGGGAGCTTGTAGTTTATTGTTTATCAGAATGCCAAATAAATCATAGAAAGAAAGAAAAAGAAAGAAAACAGAAAAGTCAATTACTTTTGTCTTATCTGACTTGAAAGAAATAACTATTTAGTTTTAATATTCGATACAAGTGAAAAACAATGCACGTAATTACGAAAATTTCAATTCTAACAATATTTAGTTAAAATAAAAATCTCTAGATATCCCTCCAAGAAATACCTGTTTCAGTTCTTAACGTTTTTACAACATAAATACATTATCATAAAATATATACATCTCGTTAAATAATAATAGCTTCATAGACTGGCCATGGCATTATGCCATATACAGTTTTTTTTTCTGAACCACGGCTTGAGTCAAAGGAAATAAGGCTCATTAAACCTAATGTTACGTTTCTTCTGGTTCCTTAATGCGATCCATAATAGATTAGAAATAGTTTGCTTTCGGGGCCGTTCAAGTATTACGTAAGCAGATTTACAGCAATTTCCCCCCTTCCCTCATCTTGTCAGCAAAATAAAGTTAAGCGCTCAAAAGTACATAAACCTATTAATTTTTTGTAGGAATCCTCGAAAATGCATTTCCTTTTCAAGCATAGACAATATGTGTAAAAAAGTAAATAATTACTGTTTACGTAATCACCAAATAAGAAAATCAAGGTCCCCCTTATGGTGCTTGCGTAATACTTACACGGCCCCTTCACTTAACGTAATACTTGAAAGGTCCTAGGTTCGATCCCAGCAAGCAAATTTTTTAGCAAGGATAGCACGGTCAACCTTAATTTAGTGTTCTAACATTCTTACTTTCTTGAAGTCGGTTCAACAATGAAACCATTACTTACCTTTTCAGGGTTAAAATGGGGCCCAGCAGATGCACAACCTCCTGATAGATCCCCCTTCTCATGAACGTGGAAGCCATAGCGACCAGCTGGTAGACCAGTCACGACACCTTCCACGTGAACTTTGTGCTCATCAACTTGTGTAAATGTGATGTTGCCTTGAATGTTATTTTTCCGGAGTGGTTCTGTGAGAAACACTTTGGCGACTAGTATTTGCTGAAAGTAACACGTTTTTAATATTTATTAATCAATCTATAATGACAAATGTAAAACTTTATTTAACTGATTAAAATAGTAAGTAATTGTCGCGTGTCGGATTACATAACTGTTAACCAATCAAAAGCAAATGAAACCCGTAATTGTTTTGTTTCATAATTCTCTCTCTCATTAGTAATCAAAACGACAAATAGTAAACTGGTAATAGAGTGTCACAATGCACTGGAGGCAATAGCCCTGACAAACAGAGTTACCCTACAGTGGATTAAGGGACACAGTGATGATGCAGCCGATGATTTTGCGAGGAGAGGCTCGGAAATGTTTCCTGCTGGCCCGTATCCGCTCCTACCCTTGCCCTTCTCGCAAGTGCGAACATGGATTCGCCAGATATCTGACTCCAGCACCAACGTTGGTCATTAAGTGCGGACTGCCGGCAATCCAAAATGGTTCTGCCAGTAGCTAACCTCAAAAAATGACAAAGCAACTTCTAAACTTAAACAGAAGTAATGTCAAAACAATGACAGGGAAAATTACGGGCCATTGTCTCCTTAATAAACATCTTTATGTCCTAGGCGCGACAGACAGCCCCATGTGCAGAAGCCTGCGAAGTGCCCAGAAAGCTTCTGTGCTTTTGGTAGGAGTTAGGCTGGCATAGTTAGCCAGGACTTTACGAACAATGGACCTATTGAGCGTCTAAGTGCGGAAACTGAGTCCACAAACCATAACCATAATTCTCCCTCTCTCTCTATGATTGTACCTACCAACAACGGAAACTGTAGGTCTACCAAGACATGGTTTAAAATGCTGTATAAAACATGTTCAACATCATATATAAGTGATGAAAATTCTAAAATTTTGTTGACATACGCGCTTGTTAGCGCAGTTTGTTTCTGAATATCCCTTTAATACGAAGAAGAGGCGCAATAAAATTTGTAATAGAAATATTTGATAATAATATGTACATGCGTTTAATTCTATGTCAAACCGTTGTCGATAAAAATGTACATAAATTTTTGTTGATGTATTTCAATTTGAGTTTGAGTTGAGACCGGTGTTGGCCGAGTGGCTTCAGCGTGCGACTCTCATCCCTGAGGTCGTAGGTTCAATCCCTGGCTGCTCCAATGGACTTTCTTTCTATGTGCGCATTTGACATTCGTTCAAACGGTGAAGGAAAACATCGTGAGGAAACCGGCTTGCCTTAGACCATAAAATCAACAGCAAGTGTCAAGCACAGGAAGCTGATCACCTACTTGAATATTACATGGACAAATGATTATGAAACAGATACATAAATTTGACCTATGATTTTCATCCTTTATTCAAATAATCCAGGAACTTGCTTTTTAAAGGGATTTTCTCTCGTCTAGTACCAATGAAATTATCAGTCAAGACACGCAAACCTTGGACCTTTTTCTTACTTACATTTTCAGCTGACACAGCAGACACCAACGCGAACACAGCTAACAAATACGCCACCATATTGATCTGAAATTATCACTTATATATTTAATGCTACTAAAACTAGCTGCTGTGGTCTCTGGCAGAATGACCAGCGCTGTGGAATAGTCTGCTGCTTAGCAGCTGCAAAATGCACAGCCACAGCATACACGCATCCCATGGAAAAGGAAATTTTTTTTTTCCATTATATATATGTATCTATATGACACTAGGCATAAAGAACGAGCGTCGCTGATAACAGTCCGTTTTCCATCAGAAAGCATTTGAAAATGTCATTCTGATCCTATCTTCGAAGTGTTATTTTTCTTATCACAATTTTCACTCATCTGAAATTCCAATATCGCGACAAAATTATATAATATGTTGAAATATATGCTGAAATAGTTTTTAAAGACAAAATCTTCTAATGCTATATGCATTCGTCCAATGGTGTTTCCACCCAAGGGAATTTCCAATTTTCTTTAACAACCTATCAGTATATATAAATTGATTTTAAACATATAATATGGTTAAGCTATTTCACGCATTTTTTTCAGTGGAAATCTTTAAAAATTTGAAATTATCATAGAAGTTATAAATCATGTTTTTATTAAATTATAACTATATCTAGAGGTACATATTTTAATGCACGCACACGATACAAACAAAGAAAAACAATAAATCATTGTCCTTCCAGTAAATAAGATAAATTACAGTACATTGCCGAATGACGAAAAACTTCCACAGTATACCTGTTCAAAAACCGGAAAAGGGAGTAATAGTAATATGTAGGTCTCTTACTTATTTACTACATTACTAGGTAATACATACTAGGAGTAATAGTAATATTACTTTTCCGGTTTTATAGTATAGTTTTTTTTATGACTAAATCAGTACCATAATTGTTCACCGTACAAAATTTGTAAATCACTTTTTATTGACTTCAAAAGCCTCAAAGGAGGACAACAGTTCAAGGATTTTTTTCAACGTTTTATTATTAATAATATCTTTAAAATAACCTTCAATAACAAGAAACACGACTTACCTCGCTCAAGTCTTGAATAGTGAGTGAGGCAAAAGTGTAATTTAACATATACACAAACAACACCAGAATACATTGAGCCCTCAATACCGGTACAATATAAAACTATCGTCGAAATACTTTAAGAAAACAAGGGTCATCTTAAAATGGGGTTACTGATTGGTAATCTAGAATGTACTTGTTATTAATCTGTCCGTCATTGTTGTTTTGGTAATCCGTGAAGGTGAAAAATAGATCACTTGAAACAATTTCTTATCAGACTTATTAAATAGATTTGTATCTAAACAAATAATTGGCGCACTTCCATTCACAGAAGAGTATGAATTTGGGACAGGAAAAAATGTGACGTCAAACTACCACAATAGTAAACAAAATATCTCATCTAGTTTATTTTATAATAACGAATTTTTAAATATTTCTTTTTGTGCTTAACAAAAATTTCTAGAATTTTTATTTTAGTACTTACCTGTATATATTAATTGTTTTTTTCTTATTAATGTTTACCTTAATTGTGATTTAGATAAACAGTTTGTAACATATACCGTAGATTTAGTACTATCTGGTAAACTTTAATAAATAAATACACGTATAGTTTTTAAAGAAGTGAACCAAGAGGAAAAATCATTTCTGCAAGGCTTTAGACGAACGCTTGAGCACACAGAACCCAAAGTTTACTTCTTTAGCTATTTTGGAGCAGTCCGTAAATACCAAAGGATTTGTTAAGAATTAAAACGAGCTTGTCTCAAACTGGTTACATTGCACAATGTATTGCAACTTTGAAAGTGTACGCTATAGATAAATACTGAGTTTTCGATCACATGGTGGAAATTTGTAAGGATGCATGTGATGGGATTAGTGCTTCGAAGGGCAACAACGTTTACTAACATTACGGAGTTTTTTTTTCGTGGGGAAATACGCTTACCTTTCCGCGGCACTTTTGCCTCGTGGTGAAGGGTTACATGGGACTCGCTGCTGTGCCTACCCACTAAAACCCCACGGCACCACCAGCAATCGCCCGAGGCAGGACACAGTAACAGCGTAGCCTTGTCCGCCATGCGATCAGTCGTTGAAATCTCGGTCCTTTTTGGCCACGAATGATGTAAAATGGACCTTGGCACAGCAAGGGGAGGTCGAGTATAATGCATGCAGGGATGCCCTTCTTTTAAACGCATGAACTGTTCCCCCACTGAAGCGTCTACGTGCACAGGATTACACAAGGCGTTACACGGTGCAACTGCGACTTAGGGCCGGTTTTTTGATCCGTAGTTAACTCAACTATTGGTAAAAAATCGTTACTATTAGTTAAATATCAGGAAAATGCGTTTTTTGATCCGTGGTAAGAGCATCCAATGGTAAAATATCTAACCATTAGTCAAAAAAGTTAACTACTCAGTATCGGAGGGTTAAAAAGATGGCCGCTGGTAATTTATATACTAACAGCTGTTTGTCACAGAAATCAAACTATGATAAATACGTTTATTACTATCTAATGATGAATTTAAACATATTGAGATACTTTAATTAATGAGACGATGAAGAAGGCGTTAATATTATATGAGAATGTGTTAATGAGTGACCAAAAATATTTAGGCAATGTCATCCGCCATTAGAAACCTGGGATGATGTAGATTTTTGTCACTGTTACCCCCTATCGAAGGGAACAGTGCTCTGGATTGTTACTGAAATTGGGAATGATCTTAAACTGCCAATGAACAAGAGTATATATAGACAGCAGCTCATACCAACCTATTTTGCTTCATTACTAACTACAGAACCGCAGCAGTATATAATTAAGTATATTACTAATTCATTATGTGTTTTATTGCCTATAATATTAACTTATAATTATTATAATTAAATAAAATACAAGAACAAGAGTATATATAGACAGCAGCTCATACAAACCTATTTTGCTTCATTACTAGCTACAGAACCGCAGCAGTATATAATTAAGTATATTACTAATTCATTATGTGTTTTATTCCCTATAATATTAACTTATAATTATTATAAGTTAATATTATAGGCAATAGAATACATAATGAATTAGAGTTAATATTATTTATATATTACTAATAATATTAACTTATAATTATTATAAGTACATACAAGTATGTACTTATACTAAAAACTACAGCTACACATTAGTTAGGGACCTATGATATTCTTTAGGGCTTTTATTACATTTGTGAGTTAGCATCTATCTACTTTATTACAAGAATTTATAAATAAAACATTTGACTTGATTAATAAACTGTTTAATTATAACTTAAATACAAACCATTTTTATTAAAAAAACATTACAAAATTTACATGAAACCCTAAAGTAGCAATTAAATATTTTCTAATTGTTTCTTCTTGCATTTCACCTCAATTTGATGCAACTCTTTTTGCTGCTACATATATTTATTGTGCCTTTCTTCCATCTGCTGCATCACTTTTTGGTGCACCTCCTCTTTATGCAGTATGAATTTTTGGTGGGCCTCTCATTGGTGCAGCAAATGTTTTTGATGCTCTTCCTAAGCATAATTGAACAAATCATCCTCTCTTATTTGTCTTTGTTTCTAAACTCTTTTTTTTATCCGTGTGGATCATAATCCGCTTCCTTGTTTCCAAAGGGTTAAAAGATTTTTTCCTTTTGTTGTAGGACACAGCTATACAAGAATAAATATAAAAATGTGCCTACACCTTCATTAAATGTATATTAAATTTAACACTTCGGTGTCTAGACCCATCTGAGTTGAAAACGTCACAGAGATTTCCAAGCTGCATCTTTTTGTACATTGCTGCAGTGATCAGTTGTTTGCAGGTTACGACTGTGTAATCCTTGAGAAGCATCACCAGTTTGGCAGTTTCTTTTTTGGCGAAGTTAGCAGTATGGTCCCTTTAACAAAACATAAATGTTTTACTTTCTATTACGAAACACAAGATAAACCGGAATAAATAACACGAAAATATGTTTGAACTTACTTATTTGACCGTTGGCTGTTTGCGGACATCGTTATTTATATATTTAAGTATCGTAAAAAGTGTAAACCGTATTAAATCACAGAAAAACAACTTTATTTATATCGTGTTATTTAGATTAATTTGACACTTCAAACTCTTCAAAGCGCAAATAACGAATGAAGATGGCAAAAATGGATTTCATTCACTCAATATGTCTAGTGTTGTCATACAAAATAAATGATCCCCACAAAAAAGAACCACATTTTTTGGGATGTCATTGCTCATTGCACTGGCAACAAATTGACAAATTGTTAACTTTAACTATAGTTAAAAAAGGCATTGAAAAACGCATTTACGATTTTACCAATGGTTATTCATTTAACTATAGTTAATGTAACAAATGGTAAAACCATTTTTTACTACGGATCAAAAAACTGGCCCTAACATTACGGCCATCTCAAGCTTGTACTATGCCCTGGTTAGAAGTATGTTAGAGTGTAACTCGTCTATTTGGGCTCCGCATGAAACTAAATACTGTCTTTTGTTGGAGCGCATACAGAGTAAGTTTACTCGTTTTCTTTATTATAGACTATATGGCATCTATGCCGACTATGCCTTATTGTACCCAACATTTTTTGTCTTGGGGATAGTGGAGTATAATAAATTTGAAACAAGACGGGACTTACAGTTGGCCTATCTACTTAAAGTATTGCGGGGGGTGGTGAGCAACGCAAGGGTTGTACAAGAACTCGGGTTCTTTGAACCTAGGGGATAAGTGCGACGGCGAAGGCTTTGTATCCACGGAGCCCTGGGCTGCAGCCCAAAAATCCCTTAAGTAGATCCGCCCCTAATGCCAAGTACAGTTATTTAGGGGGTACTTCATTTAAGAAATACTCGATTCCATACTAAACCAAAAATAAACTTCATTTTTTTTTATCGAAATAACAGCAGTTTTATACTATTTCTATATATTTGTGATGCATATATGAAATTACCTCTAAAACCGAGCGTACAACAAAAACTTTAGGGGGTTTTAATTGATATTTAGGGGTATTTGGGGGGAATATTTTTCCTAGGGGAATATTCTGTAGGAATTGGCTTCACTGCCCATAATGCTGACAGTCCTGTATCTACTCGTTGTTGTACTCGGTCGTGTCCATCGGAGTATGACAGAATATGATACACTTGGTATAACTGTCAATTATTAATTTCGTTATGTGAATGATTAAAGCTTACGTTTATATGTCCGCTTGTACACCTTGGTCTAGTTATAAAAGTTCAATATCACTTTGGTAATTTATCACATTCTACAACCTTCTATTCGTGTTGTACCTTCTTCATAGTACATGTCTATACTAATATTATAAAGAGGAAACATTTGTGTTTTTGTATGTATGTTGTAATGTTTTCACACAAAAACTACTGTACCGAATAAGACATCCACCGTACTCCCCGGATCTTGCTCCAATAGATAACCATTTTTATCGAAATTTGGATAACTTCTTGCAAGGTAAGTCAACTCTGATGGGGTGGTCGAAACCACCTTCAAAGATTTTATTGATTCCCGTCCGAATGGTTTGTTAAGGGATCAATGAACTATCTATAAGATGGCAAAAGTGCATAGAAAGCAATGATCAATTATATATATGTTTAAAAAAATCTACTTTTTGTTCCTCCTATACAAAATGTCAATTTTTAATATGTAAGGACCTAATATATGTCCAGCCGTGCTAAGACGACAATTATTTACACAGCCTTGCGATTCTGTAACTCACTTTTCGAACTCTCACAGCGTTTTCGCAGCGGCGCGGCGGTCGCGCTCAAATCAGTCGTGAAGCAGTCATTTTACGATTTGGCATTCTGATAAACAATAAACAACAAGCTCCCTCCGCTTGTCAATACTTGAAATTGCTTAACAGAATACCATGAGATTCCAAAAATGACGTGAGTGACGAAGGGAGCGTTGTTAGTGCGAGGTGAACTCACGGATTAACAGAATCGCACGGCAGTACTCATATATCAGGTAGAAATATAACACCAACTAACTTACTAAAACAAGGCAAAACCCTACTTATCATTCAGATACATACCTACTGATAGCTTATTTTTAAAATAAGTTTAATTATTTACTATTAATTATAATTTAACGCGTTTAATCAGGGGCGCTGTAAAATTTTCAAAGATTTTAAGGTAAAATTTAGTGAACAAATTCTGGCCTTTTGGTACTTTTGACTGGCCGAATCTTATCGTAGGCAATCGTTAGCGTTTAAAGCTTTGACCAACTCATTTACATAGGTACCTATTATCAAAACATTTTCTAATCCAACTATGATAACACGATTATAAATTAATTTAAGAATGTATTTAAATTGATAATATTTATCTATTTAATCGCCTTACTTTTAAAACCTAAATATTTGTCCCGTATAAGTGTAATAACAATTTAATACACTCGCATGGTGAAGGAAAACATCGTGAGGAAACCGGCATGCTTTAGCCCCATAAAGATAACGGTGTAAGGCAGAGAAAGCTACTACTATTTGTTATAAGATAGGGCGTCAAACGAACTTACGGGACATCCATAAAAGGCACTCACTGCAACACCCCTGGGATATGAAAACTACTTGCCTTAGAAAAAAAAATCTGGTAGCAAATACAGAAACCTGAGACCAAGACCAAGGGTTGTTTTGGTTTTGGTCTTGGTATTGAAGAGTTAATATTTAGGTTTAAAGACATTTGTTCTCATAACAGACAATAGTCACTTACATGAGAACTTATATACTAAAGATACAATTTATCACGTCGTGGGTCATTGAAGAGCTTCAAGGATGAATTAGCGAAGTAGAACTTGGGTGAACTTTCATTTTTGTAGAGAACTGGGATCACTCAAGAGATGGTCTTTTAGTCCTAATTTAAATATTGCCAGGCTGTCTGCACTTTTTATATTTTGTTGAAGTCTATTATACCGCAGCACTCCCTCAACGCTCAATGTTTTTTTACCATAATTGTTTCTATACTTAGGTAGAATAAGATTGTGAGGGCGTCGTGAACTGCGTTTCTTAATTTTATTTAATTTAGTGAAAGTAAGTAATCATATAAAAACAGTATTAAAAAAATGAAATAACATTCGCGTCAGGGAACAATAAATGCTAGTACAACTCATGATTCTCTTCTTCCAGGGACCCAAAGGCATTTTTAAGTATTCCTTGAGCATTCACACAAAAACAAATATTTATTGTTAAATTATAGTGAGTATTCGTTCTTGATAGTAATGTGTAATAGATAAAATAATATTTAAAAATTACTTAGTTTCTTTACCTGATATAGAAATATGCCGAATTCAGTTAAAACTAAATATTAATCTAATTAATAACTAATTATTAATGTTATCCTTGTAGAAGAATTTCTATCTATGGTTGACGCTGATAAGAAGACATTATTTCATGTATAACAATTGAACAACAAGTACTATTTATATATTTTTTAATTAGAATTTAGAATTATATGCTAAATTTAATTTTACGCTTAATATGTTTTTATTCAACCTTGTACACCCGAAAACATATACATAATTCACACTAATTCGCACAAAAGTAAAAAGGCAAAAGTGTAATTAGAAATGACACTTACCAAATTTTAACACTTTACTCAGAACTAATAACTACAAAACACAACACCACCTTTCAATACCACTGATATAATGTACTATCACATTATTACGCGATAGACTTGTAAACCTTGTTGATAAGATGTAGAAAGTAGAGCGATATTTGTTAAGGTTATGGAACTAGAGAGCAGTAATGGCCAAGTGACTTCAGATTAACTCTGAGGTTGTGCGATCAAATCCTATGCAAAAATGATTTTTCTTTGTTGTCCCCATATAAAAGTCTAACATTGAATTACTTTTGAATATTCTAGACAGATGTCTTCTTTATAGTATTCACATATCTTAGGCATAATAACACAAAAATATATTTTTTTATAAGCGCCTGATATATAGAGTCAGCAATTGTATTTCAGTAAGAAATGAAAAAACTGTCAGGCGTAAAATTTTATTTCAATTTTATTCACCCTGGTTCCGGTGCGTGTTTTGACTTTCTGGTGGGTAACGGTGGAGCTGGTTCACCTTGAAGCTGTGAAAGGGCGCAGCGGACTGCTGACAACATTTCTGGGGTGGATTTTCTGCTTCTGGGTGCGTGGGGACGGTGGGGACGGGACATTCGTTCGGCTGTAGCAGTTCCTTCTAAAAGATGTAGGCATAGTTGTGATCGTCGCCAAAATTAGGTATTACAGGAAGATATATTATTATGTAAAGGATTTTTTAAAGATCCTCTTTAGGATCTCCAAGTTTCGGTGAACATCGTTTAAAAAAATCTGGCTAACTTTAAAAATGCCTATTACCTAATGATACTATGATGAATGGTAATCATAAATATGATGAAGCTCTACCCACTTGTGAGCGTTGTTGGTTATAATATCTTACAATATCAGGGAAAGTGTACAAACTCGCGCACAAGGACAGAAGTAAAAAACATAATGATGATCTTGTCATCCCACAAATTCAGGGAATATTACTGAACTGATAAAAAAATCTTGTCCCAGGTGACTATCTACATAAACTTTATTTTGACGTGGAGCAAAATAAAGTTTATCCCGTAGATGGCGCTGCAGTCGGTATCTAGGTTATTTATTTACACAGCAAATAAACTGCTGGTATATATAATAATCTTCTGTGCATGTGTTCTTAATGAAACTCCTAAACGGCTGGACAGATTTTAATGAAATTTTTTGTGTGTTCGTGCGGAGTCGAGAATAGTTTACATTATTTATTAGTTTTTGTATGTAAGACGTGTGTACAGGACAACGTCTGTAGGATCTTCTAGTATATTATAAAATAGAAATGTAATCCAATAGGGTAAGAAATATTCGATACCAACCAACGACAATATTAAAATGTCTGTAGGCCTTTAAGTTATTACGCGAACAAAATATTTCATAATATACATAAACAAAATTAATACTTTTATCGGTTGTGGTTAAATAATTTTAGAATATTTTAATTTCCTAGTTTATAAATGCCTAATTGGATTATAATCGAGGCGGCTATGTCAACATCTGACTAATTTTACAGTTATTGATTATATGTAAAACTAAACTACCTATCACCTCATAGCTTATCATAATAGATCTTAAAAAATGGCCTTATATGTGAAGTTCTTTTGATACAAATTTAAACGTTTTATATCTCAGGTATATGATGATATATATTGCCTAGTATCCAAATGAACGGAATCATAGATTGTCATTTTATAATATAGTCTATGAATAATGAGTTTAAAATGTTTAACACATTCCACACAAGAGATGTAAATTTAAACAGAGTGCATTAGGAAAATGGTTACAAAATGTATCACAAAATCTATTCAAATAAAATTTCTGACTATAGAATTAGTTGCAATGGTTTTGTGGTCTGCTCTCTCTATTCAAATAAATATCATTGGATATTGTTAATACCATCACATACGGGATGGGCTTAATATTGTTAATAATTTGTAAAATAATTTAAACATATAATTTGGTACTAACGATTCACTCTGGGGCGCTCCCTATCTTCATCATTCTTCTCACAGCAGGAGCAGAAGTAGCATGGTATACCTGGTACACCACAGCACAAAGCACCCCAAAGCCACTTATTCAAAGTATTCCCAGCTCTAATCCAGGCTGATGATCGGTCACTTTGATTGTCGTAGACAAAATCTCGGTTCATTTTAGGTCACCATTGCAATGTTTTTATTTACGTTTGTTGATACAATTGACATTATTGATAATTGACATTGAACGTCGTGGTTTTTATTACGAAAAAAGGTTATATAGCAGATTTCAATATTTTTTATTTTTAGCAGGTTATTTTACATTTAGTATTCCTTACTCACTCACTCACTTTGCTGGCGAACCGAGAAACTTCCAGCGCTTCCTTTCCTGTACCACCTCCCGCCTGCTGGCTTTCAGCTGCAGCAAGGCCTCCTCCACTCTGGCAATCCAGTGGTACCTACGCCGACCTACTGGTCTCCGACCGGCACAGGTATGCCACTACCCATACCCTCAAAATGACCCAACCGTACTACGTAGATTAGGATTTCTTAAATATTGAATTTCATTTTTCAATCTAATACCTGCCGGCCTCCTGTGCCTTGCACACGCCGTCGACTTTTTGGGTCTGAGACATGTCGGTTTCCTCACGATGTTTTCCTTCACCGTTCGAGCGAATGTTAAATGCGCACACAGAAAGAAAGTCTATTGGTGCACAGCCGGGGATCTCACCTCAGCTATACATTTAATGAAATTTTTCTCTTCGTTGTGAACATCGTCAGGAAACTGACATGTCTGAACCTCAAAAATAGATGACGTGCATAGAAGGATATTTTTTGATCACCTACTCGACTATAAAGAAAAGGTTGTAAGACAACTGATGTTCCGGATGGATAAACTCAGAGACTACTAAACAGAGTAAAGTCATACTAACCTTCTTAAAAAAATTCATTTCTACTGCTCCTAGAGTTACTAGAACGATCTCCCTATTACAACTTGATTACTAACATTGATTTATTTTACAACAATCTTCCAACTTACCGTAACTTTGTTCATCATGCTCTTAATGAGGTTTAAGTTTTATTTGGTGGTTGCTTGTTTTTATACCCTGCTAGCTTGCTTAAGTTCTAATATAATTGAATAATGTGTGATAAATTTGTGATGTCATATTTCCTTGTATAATTTTATAAAACAACGTGTATGGTTTTAGAAATTTAAATAAATAAACAAAGAATGTTACATTTTCAGACAAGCATATAGGCTTATATTTGTTATAGTACATGGAACAAACGGGTGACACTCTCAATGCCAGCGAACTCGCGAGTGCGTTGCCGACCTCAAATTATTCTATTCCATGAGAATATTATCAGCAAGTTAAAATAATATTGTTTGTGGTTTCTTGGGTACACCTATAGACCTTCTCACCGTTACAAAGTTTTTGTAACGGAGTTAGTCACCTTATTAATATTTGTATTGTATTGTAAAATTACTTGAAGTAAAAATAAATGAGATATAAAAAATGAGGTTATACTGCGTTGTTTGTTTCTTTGCGTGCAATGTTAATTATAAGTTAAATAACTAAAGAATCTAAAATAAATAAATAAATAACGTAAGCATTAACTTTTAGAAAAATCACGCCTCAGATATAACCATGAAATTCAATTTAACAAAAATAATTATCATAACAACATAATGATGCATTTATCAAGATTCGTACCGTTAAAGGTCGACCACAAGTTAACATTATCCACACGTAATAACTCAGAGTCGCTAATTAAGTGTTAACGGGTACTTAAATCGGCTAATTCACTGTTCTTTAGATATAATTAAAAAAATTAATAGTATATGTACTTTGTTATATTCACGTAATAAATAGTAAGAGCGGCTATAAAACATCTGTTCAAATAAATTAATTTACATAATTGTCAAAACTAGGCCATTACCGGACCGTGATACTGAAATTCAGATATAATATTAAATATCATATGAAAATGTTCAGCCGTATGCTGTTTTTATGTATTTTATAATATACCAGTGGACCCGACAGACGTTGTCCTGCATGATATTTCAAGCGATTAGGATATTGAACAAAGTATGAATGTACCGACTACAGCGCCATCTGGCGAATTTTATCTAAACAACCCAGGGTGCAACCTAAACGCATACCAAACAAATACATTCAAATCGGTCCAGCCGAATTGCGTACAGTAGAATTATATATATAAAGACTAGAAAATATTGTCTACGATAAAACTTAATACATATTAACTGAGTCTTATAGTAGGTACTTATTCGTCAACCTCAACCTCAATTTATTTCTTTGCAAAATGACACGAGACTAAAAAATACAAAAAAAAAATACAATTTATAATTGTATAATGTTTTTGACATTACCAGCGTTTACAGCGGTGTGTTACATTAATAATTGCTGGATCGCCAACTACAACTTATAATAATAATAAAAGCTTTTATTTCTGTCGGCAAGTCGGTTGATTCTGTTATACAGCTTGTCCTTGGACATAGGCCTCCTCTAAGTGCTTCCACTCTTCTCTGTTTCTAGCTTTACGTAGCCACATAGGGCCAAGTTCTCTTCGACATCATCTTCCCATCTTTTTATTTGTCTTCCTCGTTTTCTTTTGTCATATCGAGGAAGCCATTCCGTCACTTTCTTCGTCTATTTATCTTTGTCTTCTCTCATGTGACCTGTCCATTTCCATTTCAATCTTTTACTAGAAGTAACGGCATTTCTATACTTTGTCATGTCCTTTATTTCTTCTAGTTTTACTCTATCTTTCAATTTCAGACCTAGTACACTCCTTTGGATACTACAACTTATCCTTGCTTAATTTATCAGAAATCTAGAACTGAATATTTATTATTGCTATTTATCCTCAGGCAAGTAGGTGACCAACCTTCCTTTGTCTACGAAATTCCGGGTCCTTCATGGTTACCTTCGCTTAACATGAGATTCAGAAACGTGACAGCGCCAGCTGACTCCCGTATATCAAAATCCAAATCACTTTTGACGTACGAGTCAGGCTAAGTTTATGAATCTTAACCACAAGACTAAAGCTTATAAGTAAGTTTTGAGGGGTTGTTTGTTAAAATATTTAACCAAATAAACTCGACAGATGCCGTGCCGAAACGTTTATTATACCGTCACGCTTCTCAATTACAGAGCCTTGGCTCCTCACGAAGACTTAATGACAACCGTCCTCACGTATTCATTAAACGAACAAAAAAAAAAAACACTGTTTATACACTATTCCGTATATTGAATCATTGCTTGGCGGCCATTTGCAAACTCGGCACGTCTTAAAAGCTTCCAAATTTGAATTACGCGGGATTTTTTTAATAATGAATTTAAGACTGCATGTGTTCTTCGGCCAGTTACTGTGGATAGTTTCGGTTTTAAATGGCAAGACAGTCGAAGGTATTCCAGGCTATGGGAGAAATTTAATTATTAAGGCCCTCCCGGCAATAGAAGACTTCCAGAGCAATGTTTACGAAGTTTTCATGGAACCATATCTTTATGTAAGTTATATATTTTTGCTTTTAAGTACCGGGCACAAAAGGGTGGAAAAGTGACAGGCAATTATTACTCTCAAGTCTCCAAACCTTGCTTATCTATTGCATGAGAAAACAAACAGCTGATTATTTGTACGTTTATTATAATTTATAACACGAGTATCAATAACACTGGTAGGTGCTTGCAACTATCTCCTGGTTTATGGCAACCCATGACGGGATAAATATACAAAATTTTCCTTCGAATTAAATAAAACTTTAAACGGATATAACCACGTATTTCTAACATTACACAGTAAAAGTAAGTAAAGAATAGTCTTGGCTATAAAGGACTCGTAAAGACGAAAATAATGCGCTAAATAAATGTTTATATCCTTTAAGTATTATTTAAATATCGTAAAGACATTATTTAATCTGAAAATTAAACCTTTTTTTACTTCAAGCAATTAACATCACAGATTCTTCTAGAACTTTTCGCACTATTAATAATTTAATTGACATTTTATCTCGGGCCCAGGAATATAATTAAGAGCAACCACGTCTAGACATATTGTTATTTATCGAATAAATGTTATCAACTATTATAACCGTCTTTAGCTGCTCATAGATTTGATTCTTTACTCCATTTAAATTTGACCTTATGGCCGATCGCCTTAAGGAGAGACATAGAAATGTTTCCGCACTTTGCCTTTTAAAGTGACCTTTCTCCTCTGCTGCAGTTCGCAGAGTTCATAGTGCCGATATTGTGTATCTTATGTTATGTGTGTATTTTATTATAATTCATCTAGTTTTTCGACATTATCGTATAGGCTGTAATGATCGTGGATGCATTTTTGTGAATAAGGGTCTGTTTCACAATGTACGGATAAGTTCTACATAAGTTCCAAATTAGCTATTTATTACTTATTGGTAGGATAAACACTATTGTTGCGTTTCACGACTTTCAGATAGCGCTGTTCGTCACACAAAGTCCATCATAAGCTGTTATGAGTCCGATGAATGTCAAATAGAACAATTTATCTTCCATATAATTTATGTGTTGCATAGGTATTTGGTACTTTATCCATACGTTGTGAAACAGACCCTGAGTATTTTAATTAATTTAGCCTTACCTTAGTACAGGTTTTTTCTGCGAAACCATGCTTGCTGTAGCATGCGAAAAAATACTTTCAATGGTTTCATTAATGTATCTAAATGTTATATTAGTCCTATTTAAAAAAAAATCGTAGAATAGGCAACCTATTTGAGTATTTTGACGTCGGTTAAAAAGCGATTGTCACTGGCAAATTGCCCGGACGCCAGACTTTTTGCGATGTTTTTTTCAGTAATGCATTAGTGTTCAATAGATATAAATAGGTCATTGACCTTTCTGAGAAGAATCTATTAGTGTAGTTTAACGGTTTAAGTTTACCTATTTAATAATAACAATAATTTATTTATAACAATCAAATATACAGTATTTACCATTTTTTTAACCTTCAATCAGTAATAATACAAATAAGTAAATATTAATAAAAAGAAATTAAACAAATTTTAAAAGTTTGGTCCCTGTGGCAGTGTACCTTCAACGCTGGCAGAATTTCCTCGCTGTATTGCGATACTTATTCGTTGAGCGAGGAAAGCACCAGCTCTGGGGTCATCGGTGCTATCTACCAGGTGCCAACTTACATCTTTAATTAGCGCCTGTGCACATGAACCCCACTGCCCAAGAGTCTCTCCAAAGGGAACAAAATCGAGGTTGGAGGAAAGACTCTTATATTACCGTTCGTTATTTTCCCATTTATAGGTAGATACGAATATTACGATCTATCAATATAATCTAAACTAAATTAAAAAATTTAAAACAAAACACAAAATAATAAATTCAGCTCATAATACATTTACAAGTTTTTCAATTTTTTTTTTTTAAAGACAATTCACACCAATTGACCGAGTCCCATGCTAAGCTGGTGAAGCTTGTGTTATGGGTACTAGGCAACGGATATACATACATAGATAGATAGACATATAAATACATATTTAAACACACAAGACCTAAGCACAACACCAAATGCTCATCACATCGATGTTCGTCTCAGCCGGGGATCGAACCCGGGACCCATGGATTCGCAGTCAGGGGTACTAACCACTAGACCAATGAGTCGTCAGTTCAATTAAAACTGATGACTCGTTTATGTAAAAACCAGAGAGTAGGTCGTAAACTATTTTTATACTCCCAATAAAATACATATAGATAACCATTTTTCCCCTTCAAATAAAAACCCCATTTTCTGATATCAATATTAGTACTGTAATAATCTTTAAATGGCAAAACGATTGCCGGCTCAGCTAGTATTATAAAAAATGGTTTCGCATTATCTTTGCAGTTTTTTATTACTTGTTTATAAATTATTTCCACTAAGCAATGGCAAACAACTCAACATTACGTAAAAATATATTATAAAGTTAATGATTGTTTAGAGAAAGAAATCAATAAAATAATAATAAAAAATATTATAAATAACATCATTAATAGTTTCTTCATCTGTCTAACCTAATAATAACACGATAAACATTCTTATGGTTTAATGATAATAATTCTGCATGCTACTTTAATATTTTAATGTAGATAATGGTAAGGGGACTTATTTAATAGTTAGTTATAGTTTACATAATAATTATAACCTACATTACATAGTACATAAATAATACGAGTAACATACATAAAAACTAAAGTAAATTTAAAAAGTTTGGTCCTTGTTGCAGTAGCCTTAATGTGTAAAGGTTTCGTCTTATACAATGAGCGGGAAAGCACGAGACTAGGGTCTACCAAATGTCAACTTAAATCTTTAATTAGCGCCTGTGCATTTGTATTCTATGGCCCGAGAGTCCAAAGAGAACAGAAACAAAGTTGGCGGAAAACCTTTTGTGTCATCGAGAATTATTTGCGAATAGGTCTTGCTCTAGTGTTTCCCAACCTTTTTTGTGCCATGCCCCATCTTAGCCTCTCTAAAATTCTTATGCCCCACTATGTAACATACATAATTTTTAATATCTAAAATTGAATGGCTCATATAAGAAACTTAAATAATAGGCTTTAGGAAGAAATTTATTGGAAATTGTTAACGAAACACAGTAAGTAGATTTTAAACATATAATGAAAAATAATAAATTTTGGAATAGCCCCCCTTAACTATAAAATTGCCCCCTATTGGAGCGTCGGCCCCACGTTGGGAAAATAGTCCAAACCCTTAGCCCTTATTAGCACTGTCACGATAGTTGTTCATATGTATAATTGATAAAAATGAGTTTCTGTAAACGCATAATAATGTTTCCATACAAGAACATATTAGTAATATTATAACAATACTATCTGGTGGCACGGTAGTGCACCCTCCACGTCGATCAAAAAAGCGTACCATCATTTTCTCGAAGCAGTTCAGGTTATTTTCGACCAAAAGTCAAAAGTCAAAAATCATTTATTCATGTAGGTAACGTCAAAAAAGAAATATACATTAAATGCTTACTGAAGAACTGGCAATAAACTCTCCACCACTTTTTCTAATCGCCAAGTTTTTTTTACTCAACGTTTGTAAGGAGCTACAACCATTACACCACCCTATAACTTCGGTGTGGATAAAATTAGAAGCCTAAAATTTAAGAAACATACAAGATTTGTAACACTCATCTCACTGTTCAGTACAAGATTTTAGGCTAGCTAATTACGTATTAACTTACGGCAAAAGGTCTCTTAAGGGACTGAATAAATTTACCGACTTGGTATTGGAGGACATGGATTTCACAACTTTTTAAGGCGGAAGAACTGCGTTGCAGGACTTAGTTTTTTTCTAGTTCTAGGGGAATTTCAATTTAAGTCTTAATGGGTTCCATTCGGGCCAGCCCCCGTATTCTGCAAATTGATTGTCAAATTTATTTAAGATTCCGCTTGTCGATTGGCCGATAAAGTATTTCAGTTGTGTGAAATAAGTTCGTTATACTTAACATCGTAACATCACCCCTACAGACTACATATAAATAAAACAAAAATTAATGTAAATTACTTTTAAAAGATTAAAGACAACCGAAGATTTATTTGCAGGGCCTCGGTGGACCGATATCATCCAGCGATCGCGCAGAAAAACAGATTGATTTGACACGCGTGAGTATTATTAAAATAGAATGAAGAAACAATTAATTTAAATTTTTTGATGACTCCCATAGTCATTATTATTGTCGACCATTGAATAGTCGTTAATTTATAGATCTAGCAACATTGACAAATTAAATAAACCATTCGTATTAAACTGTTCCGAACTTATTTGACTTTGATGTTATTAAATTATAATGACAATGGCAGCTGACACTAACACCATAGCTCCTACATTAATAATAAAGATTATAAAAAGTATATGTACCTATAGTAAATAAAAAAATAAGAATAATTGTTATTAAAACTACTATAAGAAATAGATATGTAAATATTTTTGGGCGGATTAAAAACTAGATTACAATAAATAAATATAATTTATACCGGAATAAAAGTATTTAAAAAATTTATACCGTAAAGCTTACTCTATTAGGATGTGAGACCCGTTATGTATCGACGAATTAAATTTACAATAAAAAATACAGTTTCGCACTGATTGAATCACGAGCTGTACGAATTCGTGATGAGATTTCATTTCCTCATTCAGGTATAATAAAAACTTTATGGGTATCTCAAGGTTTATATTGTGGCACTCTCTGAACTAAGGTTTACATATCTACAAAGACTTTGACTTGATTTTTCAGTAATTTATGTGTTTTTGAAGATTCCCCAATAGGCACTCAACGATTAACTATGCCTATCTAAAACATTTGATTTCCTGATTCACCGGGAATCGAAACTTTGTTTTTTATAGTGTAAGTTTACAACTGAGCCTCTGGTGGTAATTAATAATAATAAAAAGCCCGTTTAATTTCCAACCATGGCAAAAAAGATTTTATACATTATTTTTATCTTGTTATCCTATATATCCTACATCCTAGCTACGTTCAGTACCTATTCTCCCAGTCCATTGGTGCACAGCCGGGGATCGAACCTACGACCTCAGGGAAGTCGCACGCTGAAGCCACTAGGCCAACGGTGCTCATTTATATAAAATGGTCTGGTTTTGTGTGTAAAGTGTCCCGTGTCTCATTAAAAATCTAGAGAAAGGCACTCCAATTTACTACTGGTATGTTTGCTCTAATGGAAGGTTAAATCTATCTTATTTAACAACTTAAGATGCTTCGCCCTGTCTCTAATTACTCTTTTTCCTAAAGGACAAGTCAAAAGTATTTACTTTTACAGTATGTATTGTTCTAATCGACTTAGGATCCTTCAAGAAAAGAGCGTACCAATCTTTAAAGGCCGGCAACGCACTCGCGAGTCTTCTGGCATTAAAAGTGTCCATGCGGTATAAGTTAACATCAGGCACAGGCATTCAGGAAGTTAATATAAGTCTAAAGTAATTACGAGAATAAAATATAATTATGAAGTCACATTTCCGACATTGTAATTAATTTCAAAGATTGTTGAAGAATAATTAAACAATAATTTATTGTATTCTCATGTTAACTTATTTCATAGTCCTTGAAGATGTTTGCTGTATAATTACTAACACGCAAACGGCAATACTTTGTGTGTTATAGTAGATGTTGAGCTTGTGTGTGTGACCATGGGTTTGAATCCCGCACCAATTTATTGCTTAGTAGATTTTCTTTATGCGCAATGTGCAAGTATAATTTAGCGTACATAGAATGGCCAGGGCCGGATTTAGGGGACCGCAACAGGTGCTACAAAAGAGAGGCCCCATAGAGAGACTTCGAAAAAAAAATGTTTTAAATTCCAACTAGTAAACAACTTTTCTTTTCATATTTATTTTATATTTACCTTTGTACAAACATGATTATATTGTTCTTAAATATTAACAGAAATCAATCATTTTTATGTTCGTTAAATACTAAAATAATCTACTTGGTTTCACAATAAATTTTTGATTCAAAAACTCGACTGATTTTTTTCATATATTTTTTTAATAAATTGGGGCCTCCATTCCTTCATTGCCCCGAGGCCTCTACACTTCTAAATCTGGCCCTGCCGGTTAGATCTAACATAGGCTCTCAATATTATTCCTGTAAAGTATACTGCACCAACACAGCTCGGCTCGAACTCTTTAGAATCTCCTGCTTCACTACGCTGCTTATCTCACTGCGCTAGCACTCACCATCAGTAATCGCTATATTTAATGTTTAGTTAATTCCCCTTGTAAATCTATTATCGATATGGACGGCATTAATGACAATTAGACTTCTTTTAAACCAGATAAACCAACTTGAATTAAAATTATATGATAAGTAAATTAAAAATAAAGTTTATTTTAAATTTATGTCTTGTTGACTTTTTCTAGGACCCCAGGTCTATTGGTCTCCAGGCAATAGCCTACCTTAAAGCTGACCAGGATTCCGGAGTCACTGGGGAATTGGTTTTCAGACAAGTGATTCCCAATGGTCCTGTGGTTATCGAGGGTAACGTGACCGGTCTACCTGCGGGGCTACATGGATTGCACATCCACCAATCTGGTGCTGTGAAGGAGAACTGTCAAGATATTGGACCGCATTTTATTGCATACTACGTAAGTTATTGCAAACCCGAAATAGCTGAATAGTTATAATCGACAAGGAATAAGGATTTAGTCGTCAAAAGAATGTTTTATATACCAGCATGGTGTTTTAAATAATATTAATATTCAACTTCTCACCGTTTTCGATGAAAATATTTCTTTATCCGACTTAAGTTCGGTGGCGGTTGTTGTATATGTTCAAATATATGTTAAATGAAACACTTTGTTTGAAGCTGGGTGGCAAATGGACTTTTTTTTAAAACTCCCTCGAGAGGGGTGAGCTTTGGCCCGTTCGGGGCGAATGCCCGCTTCGGGTGGTGTTACGTTCGCACCCTCTGAGACAGGGTGGTACTGGGGCGGGCCTATAGCCCTTGGTGGGGGCTTCGCAGCCGAAACTGAATTTAATGGTTTAATATATGAGCTTATAACTAATATAAAATTAGGGGTAGTGGGGTTGCGACGCTAACAAAAACTAACTTGGCTTATATTAGAGTTCTTAGGCTGGGGATACACATGCCAGTAAATCGGGAAAGTAGATGGTATGAAAGTTACTGGCATGTACGAGTAACTGGCACACTGCGGATACATTTGCAAGTAATACTGGCATGCATACTGTGCCCTTACATGCCAGTATTACCATCGCGTATACACAGGACAGTTCGTGAGAGTATTTCGTACCTACCTATTCTTGCGCGCTAAACATGGATAACAATCGAAGTGAATTAAACAAAATTGTGTTGTTACTAGCAATTGAATGTGTAGCTAAATTAATGAGAGATAAAAAGAAAAAACGAAGACGGGTTTGGGTTTGGGTAAGAGATTCACACAACGAGTCGGCTACTGGCATGCTCGTAGCTGTCGCGTCTCTTCACACGTGCCAGGTTAGCAGTCCCCCCCGCGCCCCTCCCTCAACGGGCATGCAAGAAAATCAAATGTTGTGCTAGCTACTTGCAACTAGCTAGCTTACAGTTACAGGCATGCCAGTTAGTGAATACACATGACTGTAGCTGGCACTTGCAAGGAGCTGGTATGCTAGTGTGCAAGCTACGGGCATGTGTATCCCCAGCTTTAGTGATACTTCAATACAAGTGAAGTCGACCTTTTTGGACATTATCGGAAACGAAAATGTTAAATTACAATCTATATGTGTTGAAGAACTAAACGGCTCATATTGGGTTCAATGTGCGATGGTTGTTTACATTTTGTTTACGCTTCTAATTATTTACTAAAACTTAATGTTAGGTTACATAACTATCGGTACGGCTAAAATTCAAACGCGAAGTGCGTAATGTATTTTAAAAATATTTAATTGAAATTTGGCCCACGTTCGGTCAAACACGCTATCTCAACTCTGATCTTCGCCTATGTGAAGGCAACGGATTTTTCAAACAAAACGACTTAAAAAGGAAGCCAGAGCCTTGTAGCATTGTTCATGTGTAATAAATGACACGTTCTCAAAATTTCATAAAACCTTACCGATTTTTTTGGAAAAAATAAACACCTACAGTTAATAGTTACGCAAATACGTTTTAGCAACGACTCCGTATGCTTTATAATCAAATATTTTTTAATCAGTCCGAGCGTCGTTTCGTTATCAGGGTAAATAAATTAAGTCTCAAATTAAGAACACCGCAAGAAAGTTAAATAAGAAACACGCATTCGAAAACAAATTTGGAAAGTATTTAATTTTTGAGTCGCGAATTGTTCTTCACCTGATTAATAGAAAGTTATTTAAAAATCTTTACCAGGGTCGTCATGGCGGACCTCGTGATAACATTCGCCACGTCGGAGACCTTGGCAACATAAAGGCTGAAGAGGAGACATTGAACGTGAAAATAATTGACCATCTGATATCATTAGCCGGTCCCAGGTCTATAGTGGGCCGGTCCATAGCCATAAGTAAGAGCGAGGATGACTATGGTAGATCCAGCACTGAAGATAGCGCGCTTACTGGTACATCTGGACCTTCTATTGCATGCGGCGTGATCGGATACTTGAACTAAGCTTTTTGTTATAAATTGATATAAACTTTTAGTAACCATCTCTTATACCAGTAGTGTAGACCATTAAAATTATCCACTTATAACAATAAGGCTATGTTCAGATGGCAAAAACTTGACGCGCGTTTTCAAATCGCGCGACTAGACATTGTGGTATTTTCATACAACTGTTCACGTGAGCGCGCGTTAACGCGCGTTGACGCGCGTCAACGCGGCGCTCAGAGAAAAAGTCTCTAGACGCAGGTGATCGCGCGTTGACGCGCGCTTTGATATTAATGTAATGTCCGTTTGCTGTTCAGATGAGCGCGCGTTTTCATCGCGATCGCATGTAATTTTGTTCATTTTCGTAATTATATTTTGTTCTCGCATTTAAAATGAGTGAAATTGAAGATATTGACATCGACTTACTAATCGATGAAGTAGAAAAAAAGGCCAGCAAGTTGGAATATAGCAAATTTGTATAAAAAATATAATATAATTTGTATTTTTTTTTAAAAATTGGATGAACCCAATGTGTACGTTTTCTTTTTCTATATTTTTCTTTATAATATAACCACAAAATAATAGCCTCTTCCACGTCAATTTTCTACGTTCTACCGAACTAGACTAACGAGTACTCTCGCAACGCGCGTTCGCGCTCATCATCTGAACGCTCTTCAAATTTGATCGCGCGTTGACGCGCGTTACATGTGAACATAGCCTTAAGGGTATCGATTCAGAGTCGAGACTTAGTCTTGAGTATGACTTATGACTCACATATGTCAAAAAATGAATTTGACATAACGTTTGAAGAACTTTATTTCTCATTAAAAAAATTATATTTTTTCACATGAGAAACTTATTATGAACGAGTCCCCATCAGACAGCCGTCCCAATTTTAGTCTTCAAGGTCTTTTGACGTCTTTAATGCCCTTTTAAATTGATTAATCACGCAAATTTTTGTTTTAGAAACGTATGTTAGCCTCTATGGTCAATTATCATAAATTAAGATAAGATTTTACTTGTATATAATTTATAAAGAATGTATAAAATATACACGCAATACAATAAATGTTAGAAAATAAATGTAATTTCTCGGATTATTCTTTGTAATGGATGAACTTTATAAGTTCTGAAATGATATTAAAAAATTATTTTATCTAAAGCTACACAATCAGCAAGTTCATATAAAAACACGCTTCGATAAAAAGGACAACAACAATTATTTCCTTATGAGATGTGAAGTTTTTTTGTAGAGTTCCCTCGAAAGGTGAAGGCAAAAATCGTGAGGAAGGCATGTCGACCCAATAATGTGGCACAGAAGGCTGACCGCCTCCTTGCCTATTAGAAAAAATAAATGATCGCAAAACAGATAACGATATCTGAGGCCAAGACATAAAATAAGCCTTCCTCAATTTACTTAAATGCGTAAGGTCACAATTTTCAAAGCAAATCTATTTTGCTCACAACATTCGCAAACTTTTTCTGTTTTCCAGGGTAATTTTGTACAATAAACTTTAATCTTCCTTAAGTATTTACAAGTTATAAAAAAAATATTTGTTATAGACTTTGAATAAAATTATTTCACACACAACCACTCATTCTTTAGTTTTATTTTGTTTTGGAAATGGTAGGATGGGTAACCTGTACCACAGAACTTCTATAGTCCTATTATAGGCACCAGTCTCTCACAAAGATGGTCAATACCTGCAGCATGTAAACCTGTAAAATGCAATATTGTGAAGAGGAAGTTTATTTGGAAGGAAAAATTTTAACAGTAACGCAGATAAAAACGCAGGATTTAGTTATAAATAAAAAAAAACTAATTATCACCACAGTCTATATTTACTGACAGTAAACAAAATAACAAACTAGAGCAAAGTATCTTTACTCAACTAAAAAAGAATTGAAAAAAAGCGTAAATTGGAAGATTATGTCAAACATAATGTGCGTTGTAAAAATGTATAAAACCTCTTTAAACACCTTTCAATAACTTAATATAAATATTCTTAAACATAGCACTGGTGCCTGCAATCCATACGACAAACAGAGAAAATATAAAATCTGACATATGTCAGGTGACATGACATATTCTGACAGATATCCTATCTGTAAATGATTGCAAGCTGTTCAGAAAAACTAGATTATTGCAGGCCAATAGCGTCAATGATGCTCTGTGCTTTCGCGACGTATGCCTTTTGGGCGTCCTCTTTTGACATTCCGCTCTTGGAACTCCATGACTCGAACTTGGCTTTACCTTTCAAGTCGAATATACCGGGTTTATCTGAAAAAACCATACATTAATAAGTCTAAAATGCCATTTAACAAGGGTGAACTTTTGCGTCTTCGTTTGCGTTAATTTTTCGGATTCGTTCCTGTCCCGGGCTTTGGGAGTTATACGCCATGCACATTAAATACATAGATATCGAGGTGGTTGATATTTATAAGTTGAACTCTTAAAAGGATAAAACTGAGATAACAGATTTTTCTTGTTTTGTGATGGGTTCAAATCCCAAGCTGGGCGAAAAATCTTAGGTTGCCTTTCGTGTTATTCCGGACATCGATTCAATGGAGTATGCTAGCTATAGAATAGAGAATGCAATAACATTTCTACGCTCATATTGTCTACATGGCATGTGACAGAATCGGCTTCACATTACAGGCAGCCAATTTAAAGCAAAAAGTTGAAAAATATAAAAAGCGATATCTTAAAAACGTGACATAAATATCGAACAACAACTGTAGATTATGTTTTATTATTTGTAGATAAGTACGGAAAAATTTTGTAATAATAAATGGCCAATATACAAAAAAATACTCTTTATTTTGGTCGGCTATTATTGATTTTATATTATGTCGGAGCAATGGCGCTGTTATCAGCTGCCATTATCATTATAATTTAACTAGCTGGCCTGGCGAACATCGTACCGCCTAACAGTCGATTCTTTATTTTTTTTAAATACTTATTCTGCTATTTGAGACACCGGTAGTAAGATAAAAAAAAGAAAGTTGATAAGACAACAAATACATTATGTCAAAAAATTAAAATTTACCTTCCCAGAACCCCTCCACTAACACTTGAACTTTATGATATGGTATTAAAGTTCAAATTGACTTTTAAGTATTATTACAAATATTTTGTATGGTAATATAGAAAAGTGTTGTTTTTAGACTTTTTCACTCAATTTTTTTAATTTTTCTCTCCGTTAGAACCATCCTCGTACTTCAAGGAATATTATAAAAAAATAATCAGACAAATCGGTAAAGCCGTTTCCATGTTATTTCGTGACAACGGAAAACGGGTTTCATTTTTATATATATAGATAACATCAAAGTAAAATTAGGTCAAAACTGTTCTGTGGTTTATTTAATTTGCCAATATTACCTAACAGCCCGTTCCCACTAGTCGTAAGTCGCATAAGACTAAAAGTCGAAAGTCTGATGTCCCTGTTCACACTGCGTCGCGAGTCGTATAGATCGTAGTTTCGCGCCATTCGGTACGTAGCGAATTCGTGACATGGACGCCGACGAAGAACTTGTTGTGCTCTACTACTTACGAAGAAAATTAAAAAAGTTGAAAAAAATTTCAATTCCAAGAAAATACTGGATGCACCCAATCCTAACAGAAAGATCGACTTTGGGAAGTCAAACAAAAAAACACGAATGGAGTGAGCAAGCAATGTGTAGGAATGTGTGTCTAGGAAACGGAGCGGGGAGGGAGGTAACAACGCGCTCGAGTCGTAAAGACGCACGAGTCACGACTAGTGTGAACAGCAACAAGCAGGCACCTATGCGAGCATGATTCGACGCGACTTTTAGTCTTAAGACGGGCGCTGGCCCGTCGGATGGTTTTTTGAGTCGTATTCGACTAAAAGTCGCGTCTCATCTAATGTGAACAGCTCCATACAAAGTGTATGGTGACCAGAGCATTCGACTTTTAGTCTTATGCGACTTTCGACTAGTGGGAACGGGCTGTAACGGTTTTGAACTAATTTGATTTGATGTTATTAAATAATAATGACAATGGCAGCTGACATTAACACCATTGCTCCTACTTTAATAATAAAGATTATGATATTACTACAGATTATCAAATAGCCTGTTAATTTGAGCGCCATTGCTCCGACATATATATTGTTTGTATTATAAATGTAGTTTCGCACTCTTTCGCTTCTTCACAATTAATTTTTTACTATTTTTTTTACTAACGATTGCCTGAAAGAGATCGCTTAGCAACAAAAAGGTACGTTATACTATTTTGTTTAAATGGATTGTTAATATTATTATTAAATACTTGTTTAACTGTAAATAAAGAAATTTTGAGTCCAATTACTTAATAATATTTATTAATATTAGGTCCTTACATATGAAATTGGCGTTTTGTATGGGAGGAACAAAAAGTCGAATATTTTTAAATATAATATATTTAATTAATCAAAGTATGAACCATTGTCTTCTATGCACTTTTGCCATCTCATAGGTAGTTCATTGATCCCTTTACTAAAAAAAACATTTTTCATCACAGGTAATGATTCGGTTTAAAATACCTTCATTATTGTGCCGGTTAAGAAATGTAACGCAGAAGTCGACGCGCGTTTGCCGGTTTGCTTCAGTCAATTCGTGAGGTACCCATCTTTCAAGCTTTTTAATCTACCCAATTTGCTTCAAGTAAATTAAAACAGTTTTATCACTAACACCGCAGCCTGCAGCTAACTCGGACGTAGTTTGCGATGGATCCGCTTCCACATTAGCCTTCAATACTTCCTTATCAACTTGGGTCTCAGGCCGTCCACGGGGCTTGTTCTGCAGGTCGAAATTTCCAGAACGAAAACGTTGGAACCAAAAACGAACTATGTTTTCTTTTGCAACATGACCGCCATACACATCATTCACCCTTCCGCAGCACTAGCTAGTGCCACGGCGGAACTCGTACTCGTAAATAATGCGATACTTTAAGTTACGCAAACAGAAAACAACAAATGAATGACGGTCATCGAAGCACAAATACATGAGTAAATAGCTGTACAAATTTGAATTTGGAATTCCTTACCAAAGAGGAGAACATCGTGATTAAAGTGGCCAGTACGAAATACGCCAATTTCATATGTAAGGACCTAATATTATGGACTACCAATTTACTTCAATTAAAAAAGATTAACGATAAGTATTAAATATTATGATAAAGGCGGTGCGCCGGTATTTTTAGTTCAGGGCCGAAATTACAGTCGAGTAAAATTCCAACACAATTAAAATCCAAACAATTAACATAATCCATTATTAAGTGAGGTTAATAACCCTTTATTTCTTGGATCACATCGGCCATGGCTATTGTTAACCTTTAATTAAATAAATAAAGAAAATTCTCGATAAAAACATTCTTCAAGTGCACTGGACCGATTTCTTACGCCATACATTGTAACTTATACATGAGTTACGTTATGAATGTGGTAAGCTGTCAAATTAATTTTTGTTTACTACTACTACAATTGTGGCTAGTCGTCCCTGAAAAAGGGCATTTCTCAGCCCTTAAAAGAAAATACAATAATTTTGTTTCCAGGTGTGACATTATTAACTTCATAATTTTAATTTTTACTACTACTAACATTTTCACATAGCATTGCACAATTTTTATAAAAAACATTAAGTCTGTCTATAAATTAAATAAAACTGGTTTGATAAGTCACGACACTTGATCGTAACGACCCTTTTTATACGTTAAATAATGTAGAAAATTAGTACTATTAAAAGAATATCAAAGTATTTTAACCTTTAATAACGCGGTATCATTGAACACTATAGAGAGGTATGGATAGGGAATTGTCTCTTCACTACCGTAAGTATTTTGGTAGTTCAAAAAAGGTTTGGTTCGATGAATTAAAAACTATTCATTTTAATTAAGAAGAAGGTTATAATTGAAAATTCATCATTCCATGATTAAGTCTCTTGACCAAACAAAAATTATTTACAAAAATCTTTTTTTGTAATTGTAGTTACGTTTCGTATTTTGTTCCAAAAATCGACATTATCCAAAAACCTCTGATGCAACGAAATTTTATGAGCGTATAATTCAGCTTAATTGTGATAATTAAAAGCGATAAATTTCCATTTTCTTGATTAAGATAAAATAAAAACTAATTATTATTAAAAGGACACGGCTAACTGTGGCGTGACAGGCGTCAGCATTATCTATTATTATAAAAACTCAATGATTCTACGCCGAACATTTATTTTTTGTATTGCGGATTATTTAAATGAATAATAAATTATCGTCTACATTTATACTTGAATTTTAAGGTCGTATGTCAGAAAAAATACAGCTTAAGCGCTTCACGTCTTGCATCATAATTCCATTACTCTTACTATTTAAATTAGCTACTTAACGACCCAGTAAGGCCAATTAACTTTGACTGAAAATTCAAGACTTTATGTAGTATGCAAAAGACGTTTAATATAGGTGGATATTGCATGAAATAGCTAAGAAAATTAGGGTTTTTTGGGACTCAGCTGACTTTAATAAAATATTTATAGACACCAAAATTGGGGAACGAAGTTTAGAACAACAATTCAACAAGAATTTCAAATTGAAATAAGAATTATTCATGTTAATCAAAGGCAACTCGCTAGATCGAATTTATATTGTTTGAAGTGTAATTAGCATTCTATCATTGTATAAATAGGCTGATGATTCAATCCATATTTAAAATGTTAAAGTAAGGAAGGATAAAATACAGAGACTGGAAACTGATATAGCAGTTTCTGCTTTTCCTTGTAACCAACAGGAAGGAAGTGATCATGTACGTAAGATTCGTGTTATTTAGATTTCTAACTGGTTTGTCAACAGAAAAATAATTAAATTTGTCTACTCATTAAACGTCAGCCCAACTATGGTAAGGCCCTTTAACAGGTAAGTACGGTCAGTCCTCTCTAAATAGAGAGAATAATAATCTTTAGACTTTAATGCTAAATCAGGTGCCATAGGAAACAATTACATATTTATAATATTTAAATCTACACGTCAGATTTTGAAGCATTATTCAAAAGATAACATTGGTGACCAATACTTATTATTCTTGTATATTAATTTTTAGATCACTTTTCCACCACAACTAGGAAATTTTAAGCAAACTCTCACTAAGAATCGAGTACCTATCACCTTCTATTAGTATTACTCATACTCTACCGAGGATGTCAAGAAAATGTCACATTACAATAAATTTTCATAAAGAAGTATTGTGTATATATATACAGCATTTAAAACACACACAATATAAATTAGATACTTAAACTATGAGTCGACGTGAGGCAGGAGATGTTGACTGAATTCTTATTGAGAAAAGGGTAATAATACCTGCAGGGTTGGCGTCTCCAACTGTGGCTTGCTTGAAGTAACCATAGATCTCCAAAAGGTCGGCATCATTGGGGCGTCCCTTCAGCTTCTTGATATCTTCAGCAGCTTTGTCAAATTGCTACAAAAAAATTCACTCCAAATTAACATTAAAGTTTAATTGAAAATAATTGTACAAAAAATTTAAGTCTACAGTTTCAATTCAATGCAATTTTTTGAAATATATCATATAGACACTTTATTCTAATAAGAATCACTTAGCAAAGTATACATAGTTATGTGAACATTAATGATTTATAATGTGAAATTAATTTGCATATCCATCGTAGTGATTAATATAAAAAACTGTTGCACATACAGGCATCTTAATAACAATCTTAACAACCTTGAATCAAGAAAAAAACCAGTATTATCAATCTTTTTTTTCTAATAAATTTTAAAATAGTTTTTTGGTGTTTTTTTGGCTTTGCCATTAATATGAACTTTTTATTTAAAAAAATACACTACCATTTTAGTATGCTGTAGATTCTCTTAAAAAATATCTGAATATTTATCATATTAGAATTAAATATAGAAAGACTAATAAAATGGCACACTTTAAAGATACATTTTTTAGTTTTTTTTAATCACATTGTTAGATAGAGGTATTTTAATATAAGGAAGTATTATATATATAAGTTTAATTTATAATTGTCATGGCAACTTTCTAGATACAGTAGCCCCACGCTCCTCATGCATAATAAATGCTATTATTATTCAACCATTATCATTTATATGACCTCTATGGCCATTAAGACTACAACAGAATGTTTAAACTTACCTCTTGTAGAGACATGGTGCTTTGCTTCAGTTAATACAATGGAATCTGGAAGTGAAATTATGTATTGTAAGAACAAAATGTTTTATCAGTTATAGCTTAACCGGTAATCGCATATTAATACCTAGATATGATATACTCAACGGAATTATTGATAAGATATTTTTTAACTTACTTCGAACACAGGAACGGAGCACGTCTGCACAGTATGAATTACTGTCCACAACTAAAATATAATTCAATAATGAGGTAAAAGGAGAAACTTTTATTGCGTTCGAGGATTCATTGACGCGGTGAGTGGACGTGTTTGTGTCCGATACGGCAGAAATAACATTAATTGCCGATATTGCCTCTTTCACTTGCACCCAAAAGTTACAAATCTTTACGTAATTCAGATATCAAAATGGTTTTCATGAAGAATATATATGTAATAATTTATAAATCATGTAAATTTTATCATAGAAAATTGTTTGTGATTGTGATTTGTGAATTTGTGATAGCTGATATAGACTGTCAGTGTCAAAACTCAATAGGTCATTAGTTTAGATTTTCGAAAAATGACATTTTGTTAACTTTGTGTTAACAAAATGACATCTCGAATCAAGGTAAGATTCTTGTCTCTCTGAAGAAGTCTCACTCTCTTACCTCAAAAATAGATAAGATTTTGACATACGGTTTCGTGTCTCTGTCTACAAATACAACAAATCTTGTATAAAAATGGAATAATGTAGGAATTTTAACAAATGCTCAAAACATACTACCTAGAACTTGTAGCGGTGAAAATAACATTTTCTACTTATATGAAAGCAATCAGTAAATGTATAATATTAAATAATATCATCTCTATAATATAAATGTGGGTTCTTGCTAACCAGTTTGCTATGAGATTTATGATAGGCACTTTTTTATATGTGATAAAAATGTATATTTCAGCTTTATGAATGAAACTTTATTTAAAGTACATACCTATTCTGTATAGTAAAATAAAATATTTAATGACTGCTACAGAGCATCTGAAATTACTAAGCGCCCTCAAAATCATTTTCAAACGCCTGTATTCCGTGTTTCTAGTTTATAGACATTTACTAAGGCCAAAACCTAGAACTCAAATGAGTTTTAAAATTATACATTAGTCTTGTTAAGTATGGGTTTAATGCTTGAAGCGTAAGACTCTTAACCCTAAGGTCGTATGTACCTCGACTGGGCGCTCTTAAATTTTTTTGTGCGCTGTCAACTTATTCTTCTCACACAGTTAAAGTCCTGGAATAGAGACCAAAGATCAGTTGGCGAAGAGTAACACGACCTCCCACAAGGTGACCTGGTGGTGAAGAGAAATGAAGCTGAACCAGGGTTACAGGTTATACTGGTATGGGGCAGATAAATTAACCGCCATTTTAGAATTAACTAATTTATTAAATGTTTTGTTACGATTACAAACATAATATAAAAAAGGGTGCGTGTACTTATGTACGCGAATTACGTAGGGTGCAGCCGAGGGATGCAAAAAAATGCAAATTTACTTAAAAAACTATATTTAAAAGAAATTACAATTAATTAAAATTACAAATAAGTGCTAAATGATCGATGTTAGATCTAATTATGAAACTAATAAAAATGGAATCCGATATTGTGCGGGGCGATTGACGTCACCGACACATTCCGCTGACCATGCGCCTCGTGCCTCCATTGGTGCCGTGTGGAATGTTTGTCGGGCCGATGCAACGCTGCGATTTAGGCGAGGTGGCTTTGCGTAACACCTCCCCCGAAGAACAGCGACTATTGCAGGACTCGTCCGAGATGGTCGCTGAGATGCATCTGTGGTCCATCTTCACTTGGTTAGGGTTAATGCTCCGAGGTGTTGGGGTTGCGATCAATATTTCAGGATCACTGGTAGGGGCTCCTGCAGTTTCATTGCCTTTTGTCGATCCTCTGGTATAGCAGTACAGCGCAGCGATGAATGCGCCTGCACAGAGTAGTATTAAGTAGATGGGGATAGTTGTGTGATATATAGCTGGATCAGTTACGTCATCGAGATGGATGGATGGTTCAGCTGCTACTTCTGTATCCAAGGAGTGGAGTTTTTGCAGATTAAGTGAATTGAGGATAAGCTTTGGATGTTCTTTGGGCCTCGGCTCGGTATACAGAGGCATTTCCGTTATCCTTATGACATGTCCTTTTATTTGATCGTTATTGTTGGAGATGGTGAATGCGGGCGTCTTCAGGTTGCAGTTCAATGGAATAATTGCAAGGAAGCTCCCTTGTAGGGTCCGGTATTGTTCTTGGCCGCATGATATTTTCACTTTAGTTGGTGCTGGAAAGCTCATTGTGTAGTGCTTGTCATCTAAAGCTTCCAGGGCTTCGGTTGTTAGAGTTACTGGAGTCAGTTTGCATGTCGGCTGGACTTCTTGGTGAGTAATGAGTTGTTGTATGCAATCGGGCTTCTCCTGGATTTTAAAGTTAAATTTGGCCTCATAGAGAAATAGTGAGTTTAACTTCGGACATTCTGTCTCTATGTACCGAGAGTCTTGGCTAGAGAGTGCTATATAAGGTAGGGTAGGTATCAGGATTTCATGATTTTTGTTAGGAACAAGGGATAATTTATAAAGTTCATATGATAAAGGAACGATAATTGGGACCTTTATAACTATGACTACTTGCTTAGATACGTAAAAATAACCTAATTTAACTATTTCATAAAACTGTCTAAATTCTACGTCAAGGACTTCATTACTAGAGTATAAAATCCTAAGTTTACCTAACATATCTTTAACGTTATTTAAACTAAAAATAGAATATGAAGTGCTCGATGCACGAATAAAAGATAAAGTATTTTCTAACCTCTGCATTTCTTCGTACAAGTCTTCAATATTATCTCCTAAGATTAAGAGATGTTGTGCCATGTGGGCATATTTAGTCAAGTCTGTTTCCCAATTTGTGTCACTTTGCAATATTAAATTCAACGTATTATTGATTTTTACTTGATTACTAACTATATCGTTTATAATTTTAGAACTTTGTGCAATGTAATCTTTATTTAAACTAACACGACTGTTAATTTCCGTTTCTAACTTATGTTCATTGTTGCGCAAGATATTTATCGCGTGTTCATACTTTATTGCGTCAGTGTAATCTAGGTTACCAGAAATGCTTTTGATGACCGAACCTAAACCGTCGATGAGACCTCTTTTATGACGTGCTGACTCAAACATACTAAGTTTATTCGAAATTGTAGTAATTTTATTATTAAGATGTTTCAAATGAGGATCAAATAGAGAAAACGTTTTATTGTTTAGTAATGGTGTTAGCTGAGACATCTGGGATTTTACTAATTCAATCTGAAGATGGATGTTTTCTAAATCAATATAGTTAAGAAAGGAATGGTAATGCGAGACAATCTTTGTCGGTCCTAATTTGAAAGGAAGTAAGCCTGGTCCATTGTCAAGTGAGTCAAGTGTTACTTCTTGTCCTCGCGTCGTGTGCTGTAGTGTCAACCATAGTAGTATCCTGTAACAATGTGGGATGTTTAGAGCTTCGCTTAAGGCGTGATTTTGCAACGGGACCGCGTTTCTTCTTTGTATAGATATGAATGGGAAGATCCGCAAGCACTGTGTCTTGCGTATAGCGTGGCGCTAATTTTTGTCGGGCTGCCATGGGATTACGTATGAAAACTTGTTGGTCAGGGGTATAGTCCTTTTCCGGTTCTCTGTCTTTGTTTCGGTTTTCAGTCAATTGTGTCCTGTCATGTAAGGAAGTTTCGTTGATGATGTCATAAACTTGGTTCATTCGTTTCTTGTGGTCTTGTGAATATTGTTGGAGTAAGTGCTCTGATAGGTCGATATCTATTGGGTCACGTGGGTCAAAATGTCCAGTTATCAAATCCAAAGGTCTACATTTAGTAAAACTATGAATCGAGCTATTATAGGCTAAAATTGCATAGGGCATTAGATTAACTGCTGGTTCATTTCGCTTCTCAAGCTTTAGTATTCTAAGATGTTCGAGGATAGTGGAATGAAATCTCTCTACTATACCATTATCATTTGGTGAATGAGCTAATATTTTGTGATGTTGTATTTTGTGAATTCGAGCAAATTCTGAGAAGATCTGATTTGTAAATTCGGGGCCTCCATCGGTGACAATAGTTAAAGGGACGCCATGATGAGTACAGAATACAAGGAAAGCTTGTACGACACTCAAAGCAGTACTATCTCTCAGGTGATATGCTTGCGAATACTTTGAAAAGGCATCTACTATTGTAAGGTATTTTTCGTTTTGTGCTGTAAAAAGATCAAGATGAACTATTTGGAAAGGCTTTGAAGGTGGAGGTACAACTGAAAATCTCTGTTTAATCGGATTTCGGTCGTATTTGGCCTGGCCGCAAATATTACATTCACTTATATATTTCGCGATGCTTTCTTTCATTTTAGGCCAGTAATATCTTGAGGATAAAGAGAGATAACATTCAGTGATACCACGGTGGTTTGTTTTACCCTCGTGGTATTTTTTAATAATTTCCTGCTGTCTTAAATATTCTTTAACGTTTTCTAATTCATTTTTTGTTAAAACAAGATTCATAGTTGAACTTTTAAAATTCTCTTGTATAATCGGGATAATCTTATACATGGCGAGCGGGGGATGAATGATAATGCCGGTTTTAACCTTGGGGTTAACATATTCTTTAATTGCGTTAATAACGTCATTGGTCAAGTTAGATTCAGAGAGTTGTACAGTCGTTCTGGTATGGGTTTCGAAGGGTTTTGTCACTGTCGGTCGTTTTTTTATGTCACCTACTAAAATGAAACAAATTTGTCGACTAAATCTGTTGAGTGGGTCGTCGGATATAGGTACTTCTAAAATCGGACTTTCGGCACTAGTATGAGCGGTTGCTGTGGTCGAGTTGTCTTGGTCAGGTGGTATTTCAGCATCGTTAGTGACAGCCGTCAAAGTTGTTGAACCTGCGTCAGATGGAAGGTTTATAGATGGATTAACGGCTATAGAGCTGATATCCTCGTGATTTATTT